GATCATTCAACTACATAGTCAGTCTGATCTTGCTTAGCGGATGTTGGGAAATCACTTTATAAATTTATATGGGATAAATCATTTTGAAACTAAAGAAAAAATAAAATATACTTGTCAACTAATTACACAAATACATTCTCTTTAGTTTACTTTACTTTGATAATATAGATTTAAAATGGTCTCAAAACATAGCTAAAGTGCTTGGTTGCATCTCCATGTACAAACACAAGTAAAAGACGCATAAGGATCCATTCACTTAATGAAGTAGAGGTTAGGATTTAAGATGAAATATTTCCTAATCCTTATGATGGGGCTAACTCAGTCTGAGATCAGATTCATCTGAGGATATTAATTGTGTGTGTGTATTTGTGTGTGTGTGTTGATTCCTAATGACTTATCATTACACCCATAGATAGATCAGTGCATCTCTCAATTCCCACCACCCACCAAAGAAACTTGTGCAGTAGATGGCAGTTGTTACAGAGACACACAACTGGTCAAGGTGCGGAGAATGACAGACTTTGGAATGCTCCCTCATTAATGGAACATCTGTATCATATGGGAGGCCCAAGAATGTGAACCTGTTCCACCTTTCTGAAGGTCAGAGAATTTGAGCTTGCTCAAAGTTGTAGACAACAACTCTGGCTACACACCCTGACCTAAGGTGTGGTTACATGGTGCTTTAGACGCTAAAATGGCCCGTAGAGGTGTATCCTCTCCACCTTGACCAAAGGTCGGAGAATTCAAGCGTACTTCTGCTCCTTCTTTTGAATTAGGAGTTTTAACCTAGGGCGTGCCTGCCTTTAGAATACTTGGTCTAGGGCGGGTTCACTGCCTAAGCAACAGAATGTTTTTCTCATGAATTAATGGCTTGAAGTCTCAAAGTATTGAAGCAAGTAACTGCTCTAGTTATCCCTTATATCATGTTAAAGCATCTTTTGCCTCCCCCCTTTTTTGTAGCAGAGTAGAAAAGTGTATGGCAAATTAAACATGGGTGAACTCAGAAGTCAGAACTCAGTATGCAGGAGACTGAATGGCCCTCCCAATACTATCCTATGTCTCTGTGATTCTTTCTTATCTCTGTTCCTCTACCTAGCACTTCTAATCCTCACGTCCCTACCATGGAACATACGAACCCACGGCAGCTAGGGTAGCAGCAGAAGTCACCCCATAAAGGTGGCTCCTGACAATCACATTTCCTCCTAAGGTTCAGGGGTCATTGTAGAAGAAAGGGTGGAAAGAGGGCACAAGGCAGAGGAACAAAGGACTGTAAGGAAATAGAGCTCTCAGAACACAGCAAGGCCACTGTACATGTGGCTTTGATTTTGTACAAGGTTCTGTGAAGGCAATGGTTCTGACACGTCCAGAAAACACTGTTTTGCTCGTTTAGTGTTTATAGTCTTCCACGGTGGTGTCTCTGAGCCTGGAATAGAGGGGATAGGATTTAGATAGCTGAGCACTCTGCAGGCTTACTCTGCATGTTGACCAGCTGTGTCTGAAGCAGCCGCCACCCAGTGCACAACAATGCTCCTCTGGTAAGTACCAAGTCAGCACTAACCTATGGATATGTAGATACTTACTTAGAAGGTTGCTTGAGATAATGGTTGTAGGTTCACCCCTGCAACCTATGCACTCCTTTGCCATGGGTTCTTGGCCAGATAGAATAATGGGTAGAGAGGGGAATAACTAACAGTGAGTACATTTGAAAAGATGTATGGAAACCTATTTTATTAGCTTTCTGAATACATGTGTATTTGTGCGTGCGTGCGTGCGTGTGTGTGTGTGTGTGTGTGTGTGTGTGTGTATTTTAAATATATAGTAAGTTGAATTTACCCTGCACTGGAAATAATGTTCCTCTCAGAAGCCATAGGTTCCAAATAAAAAGCCCAGTGTCAGGTGTGGGCTATTCCCTTGGAGTTGCTGGTTGGGGTGGGGGTGGGGCAGTCCCAGAGACCACCCAAAACAATACAGGCTATTGTCATTGATGTTAGTTGCTGTAGGATTCTGAATGAGATGTCTCCCCTAGTCTTGGGCATTTAAACCCTTGGTCCCAGGTGGTGCAGCATGACTGGAGGAGGTATGTCACTAGGAATGGGCTTTGAGGTGTCAAAAACCTGACATCGATCCTTCCCAGTTCACTCTCAGCTTTCTGTTTGGGGCTCAAGATGTGAGCTCAGAGCTGTTTCTGCCATCATGACTGCCATCTACTGCCAAGATTTGTGCCATAGGCCTCTTAGCTCTCTGGAAACAGAAGCCCAAGTAAACGCTTTCTTCTTTAAAATGCCTTGGTCATGGGTTTTATTTATTTTTTTAAATCATGACAACAGAAAGGCAACTAATACAGTTGCCCACCCAAACTGAAGAGTAAGGATCTATTGCCAAAGACGGCACACTCTCTGGTCTCAGCTTTCGCAGCACCAGAAGGTGCTGGGTGGGGGGGGGGGGGGAGATTAATCAATAGTCTTACCCAGCTAAGACTTCTGTGGGCTCTAATAATGACTGACTGGCAAGCTGTGTAATGGAGGTAACTAACAGCTTTCTGAGTAGATTTAAGGCCCACTTCAGAGGAGGAAATTTATGCCTGATAGAGTAAATCAGTCTGACATATTTCTGGAAGGCTTTATACTGCTAATAAAGCCTCTTGCTAAAGCAACTTCTCCTTAGTGACTTTGCCTATCCAGGTCATTGTCAAGGTTGCTTTGATTTAATATTTTTTTTTTTTTTTTTTTTTTTTTTTTTTTGGTTTTTCGAGACAGGGTTTCTCTTTCTTTTGAAATGATAACTGTATTCACATTCTTTAAGGAAACACCTTGTAGATTGTATTCTTGAGATTTGTTTTTTATTTTATGTGTCTAAGTGTCTGCCTGCATGTATGTCTGTATACCATGCACATGCCTGATGCCCACAGAGGCCAGAAGAGAGCATTGGATCCCCTAGAACTGGAGTTACAGACGTTTGTGAGCTGCCATGTGGGTGCGGGAATTGAACCTAGGACCTCTTGAAGGACAGCCAGTATTCTTAACCACTGACCCATCTCTCCAGTCCTCGATCATAGGCTTATAAGGTTTAGGAAGGTCTCAATGAAAGTTCTTCCAGATGGTTCAGAATGACATCTCCATTAAGGATGGGGACTATGATTCAGATCCCATTCTTTTGATCAATAAACAGAGTATTGAAATTTCATTTTGTTTTTTTGTAAGCCAAACCAAAGAGGAATGTCGCCATCTCCAAAAGCCTCCTTACCTGCTGAGACCTAACTTACTACCTGGTAAAACTGACTTTGAAAAAGCTAGGACTGCCTAATGGTAATAGGAATTTTGAACATTAGCAAGCTTGGCGAGACCGTCACCTTGATCCACACTAAGCAGTTTGCTGCACGTCTGGAAACACCGTCCACCCACTCAGCTGTGCAGATTTAGACGTACGTCTTGTGTGAAAGCTGACAGTGAAGTACCATCCACTCCCTACGGGTTCCCTGCAGCTGATGTGTGATGGTAATGTTTCAGGACCACACACAGTGAACACTCAACAGGTAGCTCGCACCATTCACAGACAGTATCAATAAGAGCAGCATTAGGCTGAACTGATTCCATTATTACAACCCACCAGGGTCGGCAACCAGCGCGAAAGATGAAAACGTTTTGAGATAGCCCCACTTTCTCCTTTTATCTATGAAAAGAGCCAATTGTGTAACAATGGCTTCACCAGCTAGGGCTTGATTTCTCAAGTGCTAGGGTAAGAAGGGAAAGTGCTTTTATCTCTGCAAGACAGGGGCAAAATAAAGGTAGCCTAGGCTACAAGGAGAACATTGCTCAGATATCCTTTTTTTTCTGATCTTCATCTCTTTCATGTGATCATCTTCAGCCCCCCTCTCTGTCCTGCTCTCCTGCCACAGATGCCACTAAGAGCTGTGAGGGGGATGTGAGGGGAGCTTCAGGGGGATGATCAATCTTTCAAGGCTTCACCCATGCTTATGAAATGCATAGTTCCTGCCTAGGAGATAGCAAAATGTATCTCCCATCTTACCCATCGCTGGAAGGCAAGGCTTTGGATCCCATATAGTAAGAGCTGGCTAGATTGGGGCTGGGCAGATGGCTCAACCAACTGTGTCCCAGAACCCACATGGTGGTTCTCAACTATTTGTAACTCTAGTTCCTGGGCCTTCATGGCTCAGATGCTAAAGAATGTAGGATTGCAAGGGGGCATGCCCATTCTTTTTAGTGGCACATGGCTTTTACTTTCATTTGGTTTTAAAGATTTGTTTGTGTGTGCATATGTTCTTCCTTCATGTATGTCTGTGCGGTACATGCCTGCCTGGTGACTGAGGAGGCAAGCTCTACTCTTGTTGCCCAGGCATGGCATAGGGGCCACTCTACAGAGCGCTGCAGCTGATGAGAGGCCAGGCCAGCTCTCCCACCCGCCTCAGGCTTTGATGATCAGAGTGAGGAGGGCGTCTCTTCCCCACCCCTGCCACCACATGACAGATGAGTAATGGGGACAGCTCTGCCATGTTCACAGCTTCAGGGCTGGCTCACCCAAACCTCCACCAACTGGAGTTGACTCTATTGTGCTGCTCGGGTGAGGTGCGGGGCCTGCTCTCCCTAGTGTTACAGCTGGTGGTGGTGGGCAGGGGCCACTCTCCCGCCCTTATGACCTTGGGGCCAGCTCTCCCAGCTGCCTCAGGTGTCGATGGGCAGGGTGGGTGGCCATCACAATCTTGTAAGGGACAAGCATCACAGTGAACTTTGATTCGTGCATTTTATTGCAGTCTTGCACAGCACTTAAAATTTCAAAGCAAAAGTTAGAATTCAGAAAGAAGAGTAGATTGACCTTGGCAAAGGGGGAAGAGAGACATCTCTTGGCTTTAAGCCATAATAGACAGACCTTTTAGAAAGGATTGTCTACCCCCTAAACCATGACTGTAGTGATAGATGCTGGGACTAGGTGGTTGGATACCAATTAGATACATGCCGAAGCTTGCCCGTGGGTATGGGCACTTCCTAACAGAGTGTACTGAGCTCAGTCATGGAGCAGCCTTCCGTGCAGCACAGATCTCGTTTGTACATCACCGAGTACTTCTTCCACTGCCAAAGCCTGTCCACGGGCGCCTGTGGATCCTGAACAAGCTCCTGGCCTGAGAAATTCATCTCGGGAAGCTTGTGCTCAAGAGTTTCCTTGGATGTCTCCTGTCTGTCTGGGAGATGAAAGTGGCTTCTTGGCTGGGCTGTAAGAAAAGAAAGGCACCATACTACCTGAAAGAACCCTGACAAAGAAAGCACCGAAGGCCCGCCCTTCAGGAAGAGCTGGCTTGTGAATGCTCTTCATTTTACAGAGGTTGACAGGCATCAGTGTCTAGCAGTAACTGCTGCCAGCCGCCTCTGCTCCATGACCAGCAGTTTCCAAAGATGCTAGTTATAATTAACAAGAAGCTATCTAATTAGCCAGAGGAGAGGTCATTAATTAGCTAGGAGCGGAACAACAACAGTAACAAAAACTCTGGGTAAGCCTTGCAGGGCTGATCAATGGGATTTCTATTCCATATCTGAAAGTGAAACATGGGCCACATTGTTTAATCTAAATGCTGTTCCCAATGTCTGTGCTCAAGTCCCTAGTCCCTCTGGCTTTTGATCTAGTTCAGACTCAATGGAACAACACTGGGAACAAAAACCATACAAGTAAATGTTCGGTGGCCAACTAGAAATTGATCAGATAAATAGTGTGAGGGAAACACGATGGAGACCTGTGGAAGGTTTGAGTGCTATGGTTTCAGTGACTTCCAAAGAAGATGGGGCCAGTGAGATGCTTCAGTGGGTAAGGGTTCTTGCAATCCAACAATGAAGGCCTGGACCCAAATTTCATCCCCAGAATCCACATACAGATGTAAGGACAAAACTGACTCCACAAAGTTGTCCTCTGACCACCATCTATGTACTGTGGTATATGTGCCTGTTCACAGATGTCATAGATACACACAGACACACGCACTCACATAAAAATACTAAAAAATAAAATCTAGAAAAGAGAAATGTATAAAACATTCTTTCCACAGCTCTGTATATTTCAGAGCCACTGTAAAACATTTTTCTACTATATCTTGATGTGCTGTTTCAAAAATCAGTGATAACTCCTCTTTTAAAGTTTAAAAACACATATTTCTGATCAGGTCTGTAGGAACCTTGGTATTAAAGTGGTAAGAACAAGTTTATCACATCTTAAGGAATCATCCCAATAAACAGGAATATTTGCTAATCCTTCACATATACTTAACAATATTCACTGTTGTTAGTCCTTCACTAAAGGCTTCTTTAGCAAGTCATTTTAAGGCAAGCTGGAACCTTTAGCACCATCCTTGTGGCTGCAGCATTTACCTGTCATCAATTTCCAAAGACCTTATTAGAAAACAAAAGCAATGAAACCCATTATTCAAGCAGAGTCACTAGGAGGGCATAGAAAGAGCAATGTTTCATGGTCTCACTTATAAGAGAGATCTGGAAAGCCGAGGCCAGAGGAGCAACAGGAGAACGGTGGCTGTCTGAGGACGACTTAGGTGTCCAGGGATGGAGAGAAGGGAGCCACGGAATACAGAGTTAGTTCCAAGTAGCCAGGAAGAATACGATCAAGTGATCGTCCATACAATGTGGCAGGTGTGATCAATGGAACATGAGCATTCCTGAAGTTTCTAAGAGCACACATCTTCAGTGTTCTCACCACACACACACACACACACACACACACACAAAGTGTAGGTAATGTGTATGCAAATTAGCCTGCTCTAGTCTTTGTGCAGTGTCAACATGGTATATTTGTGATAAATCCATTTTTGTCGATTTAAAAATATAGAACAGTAGAAGCTTAAATAAATTTCTATTATTTTTAATTTTGTGTGTATGTGTGTGTGTGTTTGTGTGTGTGTTTGTGTGTGTGTGTGTGTGTGTGTGTGTGTACATGAACGCAGGTGCCCAGTGGGGGACAAGGAGCCAAACCCCCAGCAGCTGGAGATACAGACAATTGTGAGCTGCCTGACATGGACCACTGAGTCATGTCTCCAACCTTTTACCTCATAATTCATTACAAGATTAGCAGAAAGAATTCCAGTCAATCTCCTAAGTTATTTGAATTGAAAACCGAAGTTTGGTGAAGCCCACACATCACTGCTGGGAGAGCACACTGACGGGCACTCTGGGAATTCTGACCACACATTTCCTATGGCTCACAATCCCAACTGTCCCCTCCCCCCCGCCACTTCTTAAACTTGACAGAGGCTGTTCCACCTTCTCCGTGATGTAAGTAACCATTGAAGCCTTCTGGTCACTTGGGGCACAGTATGCAATGGCAATGACTTCGGCTCTTGAAGCACATAGAAGACCTGGCTTGCTATCTGGTCCCGCTGCCGAGTGGCTGGACCGTTTCCTTATTGATAAATGATAGACAGTAGCAGCATTACTTCATACGATTCTCATCGGAAAGTGGGGCGAATGTTGCCCCTGAAACTGCCTGGTACTTTATAAGTTCTCCGTTGAGTGGAGACCATCCTATCACCCTTGTTTGCCCCTTACCTGAATTCCAACTTAACGCACTCCGTAATCATCCGTGTGCAGATATCCATCTGGCCTCTGTAGCCTTCACTGCTCGGCTCATGGAAGCTACGCTTGCTGAAGTTCCATGCAACGAAATGATTGCAGGCAGAAGACTAAAGACTAGCGGTGCAATGCTTTCTAAACAGTAGCGTGTTCACCTCTTCCCAGACCGAATTCAGACGTGTATTTTGATGATTAACCACATGCATTGATATACAAGCAGATCAGTATTTCTTAGGGAAATAGCTACTAAAATAACTGGGAGAGAAATCGGGGGAAAAGTGAGGTGTGTGAGCTCAATTACCTCGCTGAGTTGGGGGCGCCTCCTCCAGGTACCTCCTCCATGGAGAGCTGGCACAGATGTAGACGACTGTTCTCACGTAGTCGAGGCCACAGAGCTTCACGGTCTCCCTGCTTCTCGCTTGCACCGCAGTCAACAGGACGGAGAAGAGGAACAGAGCAAGAGTGGGGCCCTTCATGCTGCCAGAGAGCGTGAGAATCGGTGCAGTCAGCAGCACCCAGTGAATGCTTGAAGTTACCTCACCCTCTTGGGCCATTTATACTAAGCCCCTGGACGCTCGATTGCTCAGACCTTATTTTAACAGTATTTACTAAGCACGTAGGTGACGGTGTGGAGGGCTAGCGATGTGCTTTTATGGTTATTGCTGGGTACTCAGTCATCCAAACACTTCCCTTTGTATTGCTGCATCTTCTTGGGAGTTGCTGTGCAAATACGAGGCTTTGAGAAGCAGGAAGGTATAAGTTTCAGTGCCCACTTTTCATTTACTGACTGACAAGGAGCCAGCTTTAAACTCTGAAAGTCAATAGTGGTGTCCCTCTAGCATGAGAGATGACATCTGATGAAGGTTTCCAGGGAGTGGATGTGGTTTCTATGGCGATGCAGTGTGAAATCACACGGTGATGCAGTCTGCCACATGGCCTGGGTTTGATTCCTGGCTTTCCTCTCACCAGATCTAAAGTTTAAAGAAAATAATTTAAGTGCCCTTTAAAAAAAAAAAAAAGCAATGCTGGTGACAGTGTCACTGCGTCACAGAGGTGATGAGATCATGAGTGGCCACTTTGTATGTTAGCAGTTCTTAGTTTCCTCATTGCCGTCTTACCTCAGCGTCGGATAGACTAGGAAAGATAGCTTCTCTTCAGAACTCAGGTTTCTATAGCTAGAATGTTCCTTGATGTCCTTAACCTACGGGTTGGATATGCCTCTCTCGGCATACATTTCTATTATCATAAAGCCAAATTTGTGTTCCCAGACAGCTAAGCAATGAAATACCTCTATTGGTAAGCCAACTGAAGCCCTCATTTAAGCTGTGTGCCCAGAGCCTTCTGAGATTGAGCATCTCAGTTCCGGTTTTTATCCCTGAGACTGGCCTGCAGCCATGTCTGTGAAGACTTGCTAAACCAGACTTTAGTAAAGGACTAACAATGTTTCTGTCTTAGTGGGATGATGCTTTGAGATGTGATAAACTTGTTCTTACCACTCTAATACCAAGGTTCAAACAGACCTTATCAGAAATACAAGTGTTTTTAAATTAAAAGAGAAGGAGTTGTCATTGGTTTTTGAAACAGCCCATCAAGATATAGTAGAAGAATGCTTTCAAGTAGCTCTGAAATTCATATCACTCCTTCCACATATTTTGAGGTCTGATTAGAGAGAACCAACAAGGTAAAAATGTCCCATTTTGTGACCAGTCAGTTGGCTATTTATCATGTTCCTGGAGCATTTAATCCTTTTTGCTTGTTGGTTGACTCTTTAAGTGGGTGCTTTGATTTATTCTGCATTTATCTTTTTTGTTGTTGTTTTGCTTTGTTGTCGTTTGTTTTGTTTTTCAAGATAGGGCTTTTTTTTTCTCTTTCTAACAGCCATAACTGTCTTGAAACTCTCTTTGTAGACCAGGATAGCCTCACACTCAGAGAGATCTGCTTGCCTCTGTCTCCCAAGTGTGAGGACCAAAGACATGCACCTCCACACCTGGCTGCATTTGTCTTTTCACGCCCCCTAGTCCATACAGACTGCAGTAACAAAACACCAGCGGTTGGAAAGTTCATAAACATCGAAATGTGTTTCGTGTAGTTCTGGAAGCTGAGAACGACAAGGGCCAGGTAGCAGCATGGTCAGATTGGGGAAGTCCCTCTTCTGGGCTGTAGATAATTGATTTCACACTGGGCTCTCACACAGCAGGCGGGGCACACCAGCTCTCTGGGGTCTCTTCTAAGAACAAGGGCTCTGCCCTTGTGGTCTCACCCCTCCCAAGGCTTCTCCTAAGCATACACCTTGAGCGCTGTCATTTCAAAATGTGGCTTTTCTTATAAGGAGCATAAGTGTTCCGGCCACATGTGCGGCCTAACTGCACCTTTTCTCTCAGCACTTCCTGCACCGATATGCATTATTAATCTCCCTGAGAGGGACTATGACCTTAAGATCTTTGTAAAAAGACGCATGTCCTAGAGACCCTTGAAGGAAACTGGGACCTCAGGGTCTGCCCTTTTATGATTGATTGATTGGATGACGGGAAGAAAGATAGGAATGAATGAAGAGACAAAAGCATGGTACAAAAGCACGGGTAGATCTAAGATTCTTCAGCTCTGCCTTTCCCCTCCCCTCCCCTCATCCCCACTCCCCTCTTCTTCCCTCTCTTCCCCTCCTCCACTCCCCCGTCCTTCCTCCCTTTACCCTCCCTTCCCCTCCTCCCTATTCTCCTCTCTTCCCCTCCTCCACACTTCTCTCCCCTCCCCCTCCTTCCCCTTCCCCTCCTCTCCTCTTCATGACCAGCACATTCCTGTTGTTGAGATCTAGTTGCTAAGCCAGTCCAGCACAGAGGAGAGCAGCCTGCTACCTCCACAGAGCACGAGATGCACAAGAAAGATGTCCTTATCATATAAAATCATAGAGCTTTATGGATTATTGGTTGTAACAGCATAACCTGGTTTATCCTGATGAACATAATCACCTTATAATTACAACATCTTTGCAGACAGAGAGAGTGTTTGTAATAACCCAAAGAGTTTACTTAAAATGTGTTAAAATTTATTTATGTGTGTGGGTGTTTCATCTGCATGTACGTCTGTGTGTCATATGTGCCTTAGGAGGCCAGAAGAAGGCAGATCCTACAGCCACTACCTTGGTCCTCTGGAAGAACAGCCACTGATCTTAATAGCTGAGCCATCTCTCCAGCCTCATTAATTACTTGTCATTAACAATAGGAATTATCACATACTCAATACGTTGATTATATGGAGGCCTTATCAGCTACAAACCCTATGAGCTATGGTTAATAACCAGCTTGGCAAACTGAAGTACAAATGTATGGATGCTTTTGAGATTGAGATCTACACAGAAAATCTATCCATGGAAACCTGTCCCAGTAAAATTAACATGTTCTAAGCCTATGCAAGGGGCATTGCTAATTTATTATTTGTTGAACGTGGTAGATTATGCTAAATGCTAATTGACTATTTATGCTAACTCATTAACTCATTTCCACTTCAAGAGAATAGTTAGAGGGAATTTACATAATGCTGCATGCTTGTATACCTACAAAAGCCAAAATTTGAAATCCTAATCTTTAATGAAATAATATTAGAAGAAGGTAGCTTTGGAAGGTCTACAACTAACATAAACCAAAACCAACATTAACAGTAGCACAGTGGATTTGTTAGATGTGTGGTTTACCTCTGCACGGTTTGTCTGGAAGTTCAGCTATGGAGCACTTGAATGGGGTTTGTGGGCCCAGGTACTTGTATGCCCACTTGGGAAAGTAGCTGAGACCATGCCCACAGGTCAGCACAGTGGGATCAGGACTGCTAGGAGTGCACAGGCAGGATAGCATGGCAAATTCCTGAAGCCATACACAGAGATATTTCCAGGCCACGCAATGCTCTGCATGGCATATCTAGCTATTACTCAGATAAAAAGGGTTTATGTGCTGCATGCTCATTCTCAGAGTTAAAGTGCTGAGCGTGGCTCCTACCTGGCGGTCCCAGTGCTGGCAGTAATGGTACCTCCACCATTTTAAAAGTGGAGAGAGGTGGAGCCAGCATCCAGAGCTGCTGCACCCAAGCTGCTTATCATTTTAAAAGCTCTTTAAGATAGAAAAGAATTTCAGATACACAATAGGACAGATTCAGACATAAAAGACCTCTAAATGAGTCACAGTGTTGGCTAAATGTACGAAGGCTTGGGAGAGAGAAGAAAAAGAATATACACAGTTATAAGAAGTAAATTTTTTTAAAAAAGGAAGTCTTTAAAGAGACAGAGTATAGACAGTTATAGATTAAAAGGAGTAAACAAAGAATAAGCCATGTAAAGATGGAAAATTCACAGAGAGTCTGGATTATATATATTATTGTGTTTTCTTTGAATTTTTTGACTGTGAAGGAGCTAAGTACAGAGAGACATTTCATTATATGGGCTGTTAAGCTAAACCAGCATGTATATTATAAAGGCATCATGACTTCCAAATATGGGTCTAAGGATGTGTTACTTTGGAAAAGAGGTTCTTCTTTTGTTTCCACAGAGGATGAGAACCTGTGGAATCCTTCCAGACTGATATGATTTGATGGACCAAAACCCCCTGAAAGCTTGCCATGAACACCCCCCAAAAATTACTTCACCCACCTGCTGACTGAGATGAACCTAGCAACACAGGATATACCATGAAAGACCTGATTAATAGCATCTCCAATCAGCAGGCAGTAGTCATGAAAACTACACCCAAACTCTCAAATATTGTTTATAAATGTTTGTTTACATTTAAAGGGGTCTATTCTATAGAGATTTGCATTGGTATGGATTTTGGTTTATTGACACAAAGTTAAGGTCAATTTTGTTATACTGTGTATATGCATTTCTGATCTTGATTAAGATATTGTGTTTATACAGCTCATTTAAAAATATAATATATAATCATCTATAATAGCCAAGCTTGTAGTTATGTTAATTAGGTTTTCTAGATAATAGAGATATATTTAATTTAGGTATTCTTCAAAGCTTTCAAAGACCTTAAAAGTATGGCATTTAAAATGTTTTAAGAACTTAGGGCTTTTCATGACTGTGAGACATGCCTGCTCCTGAAAGCAGCAAGCTGCTTCAAGAGGATGATGGGCATCGAAGAGGCTCCTTATGGAGTTGGTTAGCCATTTGGGCAAAAAAGTGCTTTTTCCTGGACTGCTTGATGAACTGGACATGCAGTACCTGCAGAGATATGACTGCTGAGCTTGCCCAAAGGTGAGACAATCCTTCAGGGTTCCTGAAGGAATCTTCTAGACATTCTGCAGGACACAGAAGAAAATGACCGACAAACTGACAATATAGGCAGAATTGTCTTTGAAATTTTCTGCTCCATGGAAAAGTATGGTGGATATGGGCCTGTAGGCTGAATATGGATGCTCCAACAGTACAGAAGAACTTTGGGTGACTGTCCAGGCAGCGAGATTTCTCTGTAAAGTCTAGAGTTTTGGAAGTTGCTTATAATATACTTCCTGTTTACTTAGGCAATATTATATCCTTCTGGAGTCTTTAATGGAGTTGAAAAATTTATAGTTATGTTGTTCCTTAGTTATGATAAAAGATAAAGTAGAAAGCCGGGCGGCGGTGGTGGCGCACGCCTTTAATCCCAGCACTCAGGAGGCAGAGGCAGAGGCAGAGGCAGAGGCAGAGGCAGAGGCAGAGGCAGAGGCAGAGGCAGAGGCAGAGGCAGAGGCAGAGGCAGAGGCAGAGGCAGAGGCAGAGGCAGAGGCAGAGGCAGATCTCTGTGAGTTTGAGACCAGCCTGGTCTACAAGAGCTAGTTCCAGGACAGGCTCCAAAACCACAGAGAATCCCTGTCTCGAAAAATAAAAAAAAAAAAAAGATAAAGTAGATATAAATATTGTAATTGTAAGTCTTACTTGATATATGTTTTGTTATATGTAATTTTACTCTGTTAAAGTTAAAACCTTCCTTTTTATTTAGAAAAAGGGGGAGGTGATGTGGGATTCCCCTCTGTATGCTGTGAATACCATTGGTTAATAAAGGAACTGCTTTGGGCCTATAGCAGAGCTATAGGGGAACAGAGCTAGGTGGGGAAAACTAAACTGAACTCTGGGAAAAAGAAGGGCAGAGTCACAGAGAAGCCATGTAGCCCCACCAGAGACAGATGCCAGAACTTTAGGCAGTAAGCCACAGCCACATGGTAATACACAGTTTAATAGAAATGGGTTAGTTTAGGATATGTGTTAGCCAGAAATATGCTTAGGCTATTGGCTAACCAGTATTGCAAACAATATGGTTTCTGTGAGATATTTTGGGGCTGAGTAGTCGGGAAACAAACAAGTGGTCTTATTGCATCATTTTTTCCCCCAATTTTAAAAAAGAAATGGTCATTTTTCTAAGATTCATAACAATGCTTCAAATTTCAGGCTTAGTGGACATACTGCATCTTCTGTTCAGTCTAGGAACTGGTCTCATATAAATGTCAGCCTTTTAGTTTTACTACCCAATGAGTTGGCTACATAAAAGCTAATATGCTAGTAAACGGTCTACAAGTTTTGAGGAAACTTGAAACAAAGTCCTGAACAAACAGATCACAAAGCCTAAATGTTACAGGGAGAAGTCACTGAAGTAGGTCACCAGGAGAGCATGCATCTCCTGCAGGAGCAAGCACACCATATCACAAAGGGTAAAGATGTTCTCAGGAAACCAGGCTCTGAGTGATCAGAATGAGCCTTGCATCTTTCTCCTTGGATTTACATTGCATTAATGTAAATTAGAGATATTACATTAGATAAACCTTGTTTCTCCAATTGCTGATGGGAACACAATCACACAAAGTAATGGCAATCTTCATCAAAAAAAGAAAGAAAGAAAGAAAGAAAGAAAGAAAGAAAGAAAGAAAGAAAAGAAACCCCCCAAAAGTGACCATGGATTTGTTATTACTTTTTATTGAAGGGGGAAATTGATTTTATTGTAATAAAATGGAAGAAAGCTGCAGCTATGCTCAAGAACATTCCAGATTGACTCTATGTTCTCTATAAATTATACAGTTCAAATGTTTTATCAACTCTGATCCTAAAGTATTTTCTTAGGGTTCTGAGGAAATTCAAGCTTTTGAACCATATTGTGATAAGGATCTGCAAGAAGGAAGTTATATTTCCTCATCCTTATATTAAAAAGGTATTTCTCACATTCCCAACAAAAGGGGTAGTGTGGTGAGCCCAGCACACAGTCCTTCTCTTCAAGAAGCTTACGGTCTAGCAGGGAAGGAGGCACTAAGCAACTGATCTTGCCAACTTTTACCATACCTGGCATGAATCCCAGTTTAGAAATACAGTTATCTACCCATGAAAGGAAAGAACTAACTTGGGTAAGCTGTCCTCTTGTCTTCACATAAAGTACCCTACCCACTGCACATCACAAAACAAAAACAAATGCAAAATTTTTTAAGAAGAAACTTAGTTATCTAAGAAATATAATGTTATTTTCTATATTTTGTAGCAGGCTTTTACTTTTGGGTCACCAACCAGCCCCAGTCCTGACATGGAGAATTATTAGTTTTGAATGGTTGACTTTAGCTTAGCTCTTTTAACTTAAATTAACCTGATTCTCTTTATCTACATTTTGCCTACTACAAAAGAAAGTCAAAAGTCACCCCTAATCTACAGATGTGAGAGCATCATTTCCGCCCATGTGATAGAGGGGAGAGAGTGAAGCAGAGGAGGTCCAGTTCCTTACATCAGTTCTCCAATGTCCAAAATGACGTCTTTATTTTTCAGCCAGGTGTTATTAAACAAAAGAAAAATATAATTTTTAAAAAAACCATTACAATAAAAAGGAATACATTTTTTCAAGTAAATCAAGTTTTTTTTTCTTACTCAAAGTAACAGTTTAATCTTCCAGAAAGACAGCCACAATGACTTAGACCAGCAGAAAACCATCTAATTTTTATGACCTGACCTAAACTCAAGAGCCACCTAAAAACTTCCTTGCTTTTGTTTAATGCATGGTTGCCAAACTCTGGAGATGGCAAGGCGATGGTTGCTTGTCGTCAGAACTTATCTTCTCGCTGTTATGGACTCTTATCGCCAGCATAGACATTCACGACCTTCAGAGCCTCTGTGAGCTTCACAAACCTTGTCTTCTTTCTCCACTCACAACACTCTACAAAGTAGGCTGCCATGCCCTCTGGCCTCAGCTAATACCTGAATACTTACTTGTTAAAGACCTACATGGACCACCTCTTGGCAGTCTGTGCAGTCTGTGTCAGTGGATGGATGTGGAGGGTTCTCCACCCTTTCTACCCAATCTCTCCCTAGACCTCTTTAGACAACTCCCTGACACAATGTATAGGTGAGAGACCTTCTGTTTTCTTGCAGAGACAACGCAAGTCTGGGCTGAAACTTCATGGCAGATGATTCAGGGCTTTCAGAGGAAGGTAAAGACATATTTCAGATGAGCGCTGCCCTCTGACGAGAGAGTAGGATGCTGGCTAGCTAGCTGGACAATGGGATGCTGATATTTGCTGTTCCATCCCCTAGCTTGTCAAGTGGTCTGACAAAGCTCTCTAGTTTCAGGGCTCGGATTTAGGAGGACAGCAACGATGTTCCAAGTCAGGTGTGAGAACTCACCGTGCTCATAGAAGTGGCCGTGCGGCTGTAAATCATAAAAGCAGAGCTTGGGAAGCAGGTTTGATAGTTGCTGGAATTTTATCTTCTAATGACTGAAGATTAAGTAATTCTAAAAATAGCTATGTTTTTTTTAAAAAAATTACTTTTTAAGCTATTTAGACATTTTACAGGTATATGTATTTGCTAATAGATATTTCAAATATGACCAAGAAGTGTAGCAGAAATATCTTTAGAAAATTAAAAAATCCCAACAAAAACCTTAAGCTTATTTCATATTATAAACTAATCACATTTCTGAAATAGAAGCTAATTTAATTTAAATGGAAGATATAGACCCCATATTGCTCTTTTAAAACTAAAAATCTTATGGTATATAATGTTATTCCCTTTTCCTAAAACAAGAATAAAATGCAACAGAATCCAAATGATGGATTATCCTGATTGGTTTGTCTTGGACCCAAGCAGAACGTTTATTACATCTCCCTGAAAAGAAAAGAAAAACCCATAATTACAATACAATAAAATTCAATCTGAACAGTAAATCTGTCTTTAAAATGCCATTTGAAATTTGAAAGTTAGATATATACACATTTAATAGGCATCCATTGAAACTGGAAAAGAGGAACAAACAGGGGAAGGTTTAAATAATGACACTTGCTTCCTGGTATATACCTGCTTTCCCAGTAAAGGCTCTTTTAATGAAGTTTGACAAACAATTTTACAAGGATTTGATGGAAGGGCAGCGTTAGCGCCTCCGTGCCTAAGCCTGAGCTTGCTCCCCTGCATTCCCAGTTCTTTCCTGACCTGCCAATGGTTGTCTTGGAGACAGGCTTCTTGATTTTCATGTGGGTTTGTACCAAAAATCACAAGATGACTATAGACAAGAGGATAAAAACCAAAGATGAGGAGAAGAACACAAGAATTTAGAGTGAAAGACAAAAAGACCAAAGAAGACCAAGTTCTCCCTACCACAAGGGAAAAAGGAGCCTGAGAAAATCGGCATCTGAAGATTACCGGAGATGGGAATGCCAACTGCATCTAAATGCTAAAGACCAAGGAGCCCCTGCATCTCAGAAGTCAGTTCCAGTCCTCTGTCCCGCACCACACCCACTGCCTTTAGTGCTTCCTCAGCCTACAGCACCCAAGTCCAATGCAACAACATAACACCTGGCCATTTCTTACAGCCTCCAATGTAACAATGTAACACCTGGCCATTTCTTACAGCCTCCAATGTAACAATGTAACACCTGGCCATTTCTTACAGCCTCCAATGTAACAATGTAATACCTGGCCATTTCTTACAGCATGTAATGTAACAATGTAACGCCTGGCCATTTCTTACAGCCTCCAATGTAACAATGTAACACCTGGCCATTTCTTACAGCCTCCAATGTAACAACGTAACTCCTGGCCATTTCTAACCTTAATGTGCTTCCCACAGCTGTCCTTCCTGCTTCTGTCTCTCACTTGGGTTAATGAAAGCAATCAGTCCTGCAGCTTGCTCTGTGATGTATTATCCTTGGTGCCTAAGACAGACCCTGTCATATGGTGCACTCAGTAGGTATCTTATCAATCCAAGAGTGCCTTCAGTATCTTTCAACAGTGCTCCATNTATATATTCCAAAAAGAGAAAAATATGGCAAATATCTGTATACCAACCCATAGTAGTCAATGAAGTATTCAAGGGTAATCTCTACAGTCTAGTCATGGAAGAGATTTCTTCCTACAAGGCCCACTGCACTTACTTCCACTGAATTCTAAACCATAACTCTTTAAAGCAAAACTTAAATGCCTAGTGGTTGACCTTTATCACATCAGGAGAAGTGTTGGTGCTTCCATGATCATGACAGATAAGGGATGGAACACCCTGTCTATAGTTAGCTATACTACAGAGTTATAATTGCAGGCCTGGACCAGGTCCCATGCCCATGTCACACAGGAACCTAATATTTCTGTTAGTCATTAAGCAAGACAAGCATTGCTTTGGCAATAATTCCTGTGTTTCCCTTGCCGGCTGTGGCTAATAAATATTTCTCTATTCTCTTAACATCCTGACTATACTTACTTTAGTTTTTCAGTTCTCAAGATGTGAGTCATGGCATTTGTTTAAATTACCCTAACCAGAGTCCCTTTGCTGGGCCAGGGCTGGAGCCAACCATTTGCCACGTATTATCTGATGATTATTGCCCCTAGACTCCTCCAGTAAACACCAAAATGTAGGAAATCATTCCACTTAAAACTCTCAGAACCCCAAAATCAAAATCCTTCTACTGGAAGGTCACAGACAGTAACTGGCAATGAGAGAAAGAACATGTGGTTCAAGAACCTGTACTAATTCATTGAACTCTGCTCTAGCACTCTACACACAAGGGCTGCATGGTAGCTTTCTTTGTTTACAAAATATCTATCCACCCAAATCAACAAATACGGACTGGAGAGATGGCTCAGAGGGGAAGAGCATTTGCTGTGCAAGCATGGGGACCTGAGTTCAAATCCCCAGAACCTCATAAGAGGCTGGGCATTGTCCTCTGTCTGAGTGCCTGCAACCCCAGCACTGTGGGTGGGTGGAGACAGGAGGATCCATGGGAACTGTTTATTGCCAATCTAGATCCAGCTTCAGTGAGAGTGAGTCTCTCAGGTGATATGGCAGCTAATGTCCTCCCCTAGTGTCTGCACAAACATAGAGGTATGCATGATGACACATACATGTAACACACACACACACACACACACACTCAACAAAGGCCTCTTTGTCTTGTTTTTTTTTTTTTTTAAATAAAAGAAACAATGTTGTAACAGGAAGGCCACTTGTTGGTTCCCGGTCACCCGGCTAGCTTAGACCCCAAATAATCACACAGAAACTGTGTTAATTAAATCACTGCTTGGTCCATTAGCTCTAGCTTCTTATTGGTTAACTCTTACATATTAATAACCCATTTCTAGTAATCTGTGTATCACCACACGGCTGTGGTTTACCAGCAAAGTTCCAAGCATCTGTCTCTGGTGGTTCCATGGCTTCTCTCTGACTCTGCCCTTATTTCTCCAAGAATACTGCCTAGATTTCCCTGCCTAGTTCTGTTCTTCCCTGCCATAGACTCAAAACAGTTCTTTATTCATTAACCAATAAAAGCAACACATAGACAGAAGGACCTCCCACACCAGAATGTTCCTACAAAAGTAAAAGTAAATGAGTGTGTAGGTACAATGTCATGCTGACTGTGTGGAAGTGAGAGGACAACTTTGTGGAGTCAGTATTGTCCCCACCACGCCCCTTCCAATTTTACATGGATTAAAGGAATTGAACTCAGGTCACCAGGCTTGCACAGCAAACACTTTGATCTGCTGAGCTACTTTGGCAGCTCTGAAGTTCTTTTTGTACGCCTTCCTATCCTTATGAGTCACTTCCCAGGAGCAGCCTTAGACATCTGGCACACCATTTACACAATGGAGTACTATACAGTGGGGAAAAATAGTGACATCTTGACATTTGCAGGTAAATGGGTGGATCTAGAAAACATATTGAGTAAGGTAACCCAAACCCAGAAAGACAAATACCATATGTACTCACTCATAAGTGCCTCTTAGACATAAAACAAAGAAAATCAGCCTATAATTCACAGTCCCAGAGAACCTAGGCAACCCAGGGGACCCTAAGAGAGACATACATGGATCTAATCTACATGGGAAGTAGAAAACGACAAAAATCTCCTGAGTAAATTGGGAGCATGGGGATCATGGGAGAGGACAGAAAAGGAGGAGGGAGAAAGGGAAAGGAAGGGAGAAAAATATATAATTCAATAAAAACAATAAAAAAGAAAGCTGATTTATGTAATGTTTAAGCGTTTTATTTTGAAAAAATCCTATCATCCTGTTGACTAATATTAACACCAGCTCTATTAGTTTTGATCGTGGCTTTTGGATCCAGATCTATTTTTTTCCCATCTAGTACTGGAAACGGAAGACAGGAATTCGCATGGGCTAAACATAAACTACTGTTCAGCTACACCCTCAGCCCCAACAAATTTAATTAGGAACAAAAGGAATTTGACTTGAAGAAAGGGTCTCCTTCTGCCTCTCTCTATTTTCTGTTGTCATTCTTGGTGGCTTTTAGAAGGACTTTATACATGTAAACTACTTTCGTGAAGTGATTTCAGTATCTGTGCCATAAGGGCTTCACATCAAAATCTCCAGGGGAAAAATGGCTTCATGAATTCATGTGGTTCTCCCAAAACATTTGCTATAAAATCCAGACTAAAACCCCCTTCTTGCTGGAAAAAAAAAATTTTGGATAAAATTTGTAAATGCAAATTTGTATTGAATGTGAAAACTAAATAAACTCCCAGCATGCTGTGATTGGGTTGAGCTCTCTCATTTAAAAAAAAAAAAAAAGAAAGAAAGAAAGAGAGAGAGAGGGAGGGAGGGAGGGAGGGAGGGAAGGAGGGAAGGAGGGAGGGAGGGAGGGAGGAAGGAAGAAACCTGGTACATATCTTTCCTATACATGAAACCAAGAGCTCTCCAAACCTCTGACACACTCTTGGTTGAAACTAATAGAGAAAAATTTTGATGTCACTTGATATAATACCTTGATAAGAATTACTTCATTTTATTACTGGGGCTATATTCCAAAACTATGAAGGAGGGGTAGGTAGGTTATGCTCACAGAAATAGTACTAAACCTTTTGACATTCTCATATTAGGATATTTACCAGATTATTATTTGAAATAACAAAAAAAAACAAAGAAAAACTGAAAATCTATCATAAAAATAATGCGCATTGAGGATACTAAGCTTTTCTGTCAAAATTCGGCAACATAATGCCCACATTTGAATAGCCACATAGGGTGAAGCACCGGAAACCGATTCTCACTTCCAGAACAGTAGACAATCTCTGAAGACATTTATTTCCGCCTCACCTACTGTCCAAGCCCTGGTTACACAGTAGGCATGACATCAAGCTCCTCCAGATGGTGTTTAAGGTCATCTGTGGGGCCATCATATCCTCACTATTTATCGTCTATAACTAAGGAACTGAGACTCACTGAGGACAAGCTTGGATACCATGTACAGTAAAAGCAGAGACACTCGGGACCCCCTCATTACCACACACCTCCTATGTGTCACTTACTAAATGTACATCCATGACATGCTACAAAGTTACAACAAAACAGAGTCACAAAAGGACCTAAAGATTTTGCATCCAAGTCTTACCCGGCCATTGTCCAAAGCAGTAGGCATATTTCTCAGTTCATAGACTGCAACCTGCCCATCACTGTCTCCCACGAGAAGGCAATCTGTCTGCTTGGCAAAGAGAACGGTTGTGAACTTGATTCCAGGGTTAGCAACATTCACAATCAGAGGATCCAAACTGTAATGAAATAGTTTATCTGAAAATTTATGTGTCACATGAAAATGGTCTTTTAAAAGATACAAACTGAGGGAAGTTTGATTTTTAAAAAATATGATATAGCAAACCAAAAATCTCCTAAAGTGTTCCTAAATTCTGAATAACATTTGCTTCTAATCAAAAACTTCATTCCTTAAACAAGCAAGTTACAACCAGGAAAATTTAAGTCATAACTGTAGCACAAATTTTAATTGATCTTAAGAAATAAAAACCCAGAATCAGATATGGAGGTTAATGCTGAAGACTGGAGAAGCAGAGTAGCCAGCCATTAGAGAGTTTTTAATTCTAACAATGCTCAGACTGAAAGGGGCGATCCTGTCTCTAGGAAACCTCAGACGGACTCCTCTCTCTACAAACCTCAGACTGTCTCCTCAGACTGCATCCTCAGACTGCATCCGTCTCCACCAAACCTCAGACTGCACTGAGCTCCTGTCTCCTCCCACCGTATATTCTTCTCTCCGCTCAGTCATATCCCTCCCTGACTCCACCCCGCTAGTGCTGGGATTAAATGCATGGGACTCCCGAGTATTGGGATTAAAGGTGTGAGCCACCACTGCCTGGCTCTGTTTCTCTTTTAGACTGGATCAATTTCGTGTATCCCGGGGTGACCCTGAACTCACAGAGCTCCATCTGCCTCTGTCTCCTGAGCGCTGGGATTGAAAGTGTGCGCCACTACTGCCTGGCCTCGATGGTTAACCAGGAGCTTAGCTCTGCACTCTCATTTTCAGGCCAGCTTTACTTGTTAGAGAACAAACAAAACATCACTACACCTAGCGTAAATGTGACGAGATAAACAAGTGTTTGTGCTAGTTATTTGTGTGTCGACTTAGTTATACTAGGGACCATATACAGTGTTTTTGGTTGAACACTCATCTGCCATCACTCAAAGTTTTTGTTTTCTCTGTCTCTGTGTCTGTCTGTCTGTCTCTATGTCTCTCTCTCTTTCTCTCTGACTCTATATGTGTGTGTATGTGTGTCTCAGCTCTCAGTTGTGACTAACATTACAATTAGAATTTAAACAAAACTCCCTTCCTTCCACATTATAGGTATGCTTCATCAAATTGAGAAAAGACTGTGAAGTGCAGTACAGTCCCGCCTGTGAAATGCCTTCGTGTGTAGCAGGCAAGGCCCTGCCACAGGCCACCATAATTACCTCTTGTGGAAGAATATTTGGTTCTACATGAACCGCTGAGGCATAAAGCTACCTTCAACAGACATGGTTCTTAGTCTTGGTCATGAAAACATCCGACCTGTATCCTTCAAAAAGGAAAGGCAGCTGCATTCTTCTGTTTCCAGAGAAGCATTGCCCTGGAAACTACGCTTTTACCAGGAAAATGAAAATCAAGGGATGGAACATGCAAATAGCCACTCTATTATGTATGTTATTTATTCAAGAGGAAATCATCCTATAATATCACAGCTGAGTTGTGACTGGCACTGTCATGAGCCACAGCATGCTCTACCTGGTGACAAAGCTACAGGAGAGATCTTTTGATTTGAACTGCTTGTGTTGCTGGAGACATCACACAAAGCATGAGCATTCAATACGCACGTGCTGATTTGAAGGTCCCAAATTTCTACTCTGCTCTCATTTGCAGCAGCAAAAATATAAGCGGATTTTGGAGACCAGGCGACATCATAAACAACGTAAGTAGTTGGGTAAAAACTCAAATATGGCTTGAGAGTCTCCTGACGCCAGATCATGACACCCCAGTCTGCAGAGCAGCTCAAGAAGACATCAGGACAGAATGGGTTCCACGTGACTTTATACACTGGACCCTGGGAATGCAAAAATGTCATGCATAAGAAAAAGAATATTTAAATCTTATATTTTTAAACTTGGCCAATAAGTTAGAAGTTAATTAAGATTTCTGGAAGCCACACACACCCCTAAGCACTACATAGGAACTGCTTTACCTGAGAGCAAGGCTCTGAATTTGATCTTCCTTTAATTATTCTATATAAAAACACACTTGGGAAAATGGAGAGTAACTATTAACAGGTATTACAGCCTTCTGAAAGGACATCAGATAATGTAATAAAAAACAAAGAAGTTTGGATGTATGATCATAAAGAAACAGAGAATCAATATGAGCGAGAAACAATGTTTCTTTGGGATCAGCACATGCATTTAGTCAAGGGGCAACTAACCCACAGTTGTAAACTTATTGCATCTATTAAACACATCGTATGTGCCTTTCAAAAATACCAGCAGATACAGTTTTCAAATCTACAAGAATTAAGCTGACCTTGTGTCCTCTATATGTCTCTAGGTATTGCTCATTGTATGAACAGGAACACTTGTGAATAAGGCCTTCTTCTGTGCCAGCCAGATATATATTTGTGTCCTACAACACAAGGCATGTCAGACATTAAATACAAGATCAGCCAGTTTGACATGTAGTAAACCCACTCAATAACCAAAAGAATACCATCTCAGATATAAAATTTTTGTCCTTCTTTTATGGTTTCACAATGACCACCTCAAAGTAGGGGGATTTTGTAAAAGTACAAAAGTGTTAGCTTATAGGGTGAGAGAACATGTGTTCGCAAAATAGTCGCTATAAGGTGAAAAGGAAAGCCATATACGAGATATGTGGACCATATGCAATAGGCTCTAGAAAGCATAAAGGGTTTGTATGAACAAACCAAAAACACCAAATGCATAAAAAAAAAACCATTTCTTCAAAGACAGTAAGTTTTTCAAGATGGCAAGTGGGCATCCAACTACAAGAGGTATTTAAAACCCTAAATAGACATGACCAGTAAGCAATCTTTTCCCAGGACATTTCAAAACTGCAAAAGAAAAATGCCAAACACATGTAAATGACTACGGATCATAGTAACATCACCCTTCCCAGGAGAAACTGTAAAGGCCAGGGAAAACATGTTGGTGTTTCTCAGGGCCTAACATAGGAACTGTGGAACAACACGACCGCTATAAGCAGCTGTTATGAAGATGAAATTCCCTCCAAAGGTTCATAGAGCAGAACATTTGGTCCCCTGGCTGGTTTGGGTATTTGTGGAAGCTTTATGATGGGGAGACTTGCTGAAGGAGTAAGTTATAAGGAGTAATCACACACCCATGTCAGGCCAAAGAGCTCTGTTTTCATGATCCACTGAGATGTAAACAAGCTGTTACATGCCCCTCCGCCATGACAGGAACTTCGACTAGTCTGCATGATGTCATGTCTTTCCTACCATGAAACCATGAGCAGAATTGTCTGTCTGCACTTAAGGTGTTTATGTGAGGCATTGGGTCATGGTGATGAGAAAAGTTAAATAATAAGCCATCAGAGTTATCTTTTAAAGTGTCTTTGAAGAGTGGTCTAAATTACATTAACTTAGGAAGGAGCCCCAACAAAAACTATGCGCAGCATCCCATGGGCTGAGGTCCCAGAATAAAGGAAAACGAGGATGTTACGTGGATGTTAACTAGCTTTCATGCCCTCTCTGTTTCTGGATGTCCCATTGCTCTGACTTCCCCACCGTGATGGACTGGATGCCTTCATTCTTTGAGCTGCCTTTTTTTCAGGTATTTTCATCACAACCATGAGAAAAGTAGCATCCACAATAAAAAGAATCAAAAGATGCTAATTAGTAAAAACAGATTTGAAAACAGAGACAACATATACCAGCGAAATTTGAAGAACCAACACAGTAGACCTTAAAAGACCATTCACTAAATACCTGAAGAAATGAATGGATTTCTATATACATATAATCAACCAAGATGAGATTAACAATTTAGATGAATCTATAACAAGTAACAAAACTGAAGCAATAGTGAAAAACAAACCTCTCAGCTATAAAAGACCAGATTCAGATGGATTCACTGCTGAATTCTATCACACTTTTCAATATGAGCCAATGCTCAACATCCTTAGTCATCAGAGAAATGCAAATCAAAACAACCCTGAGATTCCATCTTACACCTGTAAGAATGGCCAAGATCAAAAACACTGATGACAACTTATGCTGGAGAGGTTGTGGGGAAAAGGGAACACTTCTGCATTGCTGGTGGGAATGCAAGCTGGCACAACCCCTTTGGATGTCAGTGTGGCGATTTCTCAGAAAATTAGGAAACCTTCCTCAAGACCCAGTAATACCACTTTTGGGTATATATCCAAAAAATGCTCAATTGTGCCACAAGGGCATGTGCTCAACTATGTTCACAGCCAGATCTGGAAACAACCTAAATGCCCCCGAGTAAAGAATAGATAAGGAAAATGTGATACATATACACAATGGAGTACTACACAGCAGAAAAAATAAAAACATCTTGAATTTTGAAGGCAAGTGGATGAAGCTTGAAAACATTATTTTGAGTGAGGTAACCCAGACACAGAAAGACAGTTATCACATGTACTCACTCATGGGTGGTTTTTAAACATAAAGCAAAGAAAACCAGCCTACAAACCACAATCCCAGAGAACTTAAACAACAATGAGGACAATAAGAGAGACTTAAATAGATCTAACCTACATGGGAAGTAGAAAAAGACAAGATCTCCTAAATAAATTGGGAGCATGGGGACTGTGGGAGAGGGTTGAAGGGGAAGGGAGAGGCAGTGAGGGGAGCAGAGAAAAATGTAGAGCACAGTAAAATCAAAAAAAAAAGAGAGAGAGAGAGAGAGAGAGAGAGAGAAAGACTTCAGTGCAATTCAAGCCCATAGTTATGCCTCCTATAAACTGTCCTAAGAGGACCAATGGACGCTTTGGTAGTAAAAAGCTATGTGGCTGCAAAGGGAGGGCCTTAAGGAGACAATTTTCATTAAAAACAAAAATTAAAGGTTAGTGTGTGTGTGTGTGTGTGTGTAAAAACAGAAAGCATTTCCACCCAAATCAGGAACGAGCAAGGGTGCCCACACTTTCTTAGCCTGGGTAACAAGACAAGAAACAGAAATAAAAGTGATACAAATTGGATATGAAGAAGTCAAAGCATCCTTATTTACAGATGATATGATTCTATACGTATCATCTGTAAAGACTATAAAGACATTACTGGAAGCACTTAGATCTTACACACACTTTCAGGACGTGGCACTCTAGAAAGTTAACAGAAAACTCAGCAGCCTTCCTACATATGGGTAACAAAGATGCTTAGGAAGAAGTTGGGGGAACAATGTCACTCAACGGGTTGGTTCTTTAAAAAATGACATTGACAAATCCCCTATAAAATTAACCAAAAGAAAGACAGAGAAGTCAAAAAAATGGAGATTAAAAAAGGAGACAATACAACAGTTTCCAGTGAAATCCAGAGGACCATCAGGTAACAGAAAACATGTTTTTTAAAAAAAACTATAAAACCTGTAGGAAGTTGATGAAGACCAGCCTGAGCTACCCGAGACTCTGTCTCCACCTCTCCTCCCACACTGTAGAAATGTGCACAGACCTACGACAGGAAAATAGAAGCGTGGTGATTTGGACAGAAGCAGGCCAGTGAAAGAAAAAGGGTACAGAGGTGCAGTAGGGATGGATATGAGGGAAATATATATATGAAAATGTAAAACAAAGTTTATTTTATGATCACTGAAAATGTTCATTTAAGTAGGGCAGTAGTGAAGCAAACATTTAATCCCAGTACCCAGGAGGCAGAGGCAGGTGGATCTCTGTGAGTTCGAGGCCAGCCTGGTCTACAGAGTGAGTTCCAGGACAGGCTCCACAGCTACACAGAGAAAGCCTGTCTTAAAAAAACAGAAAAAAAATGTTAATTTTAACATCTGTATATGGCCAAAAAAAAAAAAGAACAGCACAAATCAATTATTTACATTATTAAAAGTCAGTAAGTCAAGAGGCATTTAAAACCAATATAAACGGAAGAAGGGAAAATACTAAGATCAAAGTGGAAACCAATTACACAGAAAATAGAAAAATAGTATTAACATAATTTACATCAAAATCTTGTGTGGAGGTCAGAGGAAAGGTCACCTTTGCTTCTGCTATACATTGTGCTCTAAGCCAGCTGGCCCATGAGTTTCTGGCTGATTCTAAGCCTCTGCTTCCCATTGGGTTTACAGACGCAGGCTATCGTATACAGTTTTTCTCCGGAGCCATCTCTCTGGCCCACAAGGTTTCATTCGAATGAGGCAGGTGGTAGTATTACTAAAAAGACGATAAACACGTGGGACTCGTTTTCTTAGAGGGCTGCCATAGTGTTTGAGTCTTCTGATTCCCAAGTTCCTCTAGAAGAGCAGAATCTCATTAACTGCTCCGACGTCATCAAGGTCTTGGGAAGTCTTCATAATCCCCATCCTGAGAGGTAACTCACCTTAAAATGTGGAGCGGCGTATTCTAGAGTTAATTTACGTAAGTACGAGAGCGAGAGCGTAGCCTATTGGCCAGGAGGGTGAGCAGAGGCATGCATATCAGGCCTGTGGCTATCAAGAGAATCAGTTCTGCCACAGCTCTTCTCTCCCACTCTGCCTCACATGGGCAGCCATATCTGCACTGGTGTGTGTGTGTGTGCGCGCGCATGTGTGTGCGTGTGTGTGTGTACAATTCACAAACTGCACCTCAGTATTTGGAAACTATAACAGATAACGGTAGAAAGTAGGTCGAAACAAACTTACCTTGGGGTGGAAAGCGAAGCACATCCCGGGAGCCTGTCGAGAGATCAGAGCCTCGCCCTTCTTTTCCTTCTCCGCTCCCTTTTTGCTGCTCGTAGCAGTAGTTCGCCTCAGCCGCATCAAATCTGCGTGGAAAGAAATGTGCGCGCGCATATGTTTGTGTGTGTATACATATAAATGGATATGAATACATGCACAGTTTGCTATTTAACTGCACAAGAAAGCACACTTAGCATCGCGTCTGTCTCTTTTGAAAATCAGCTGTATGTAGATGGTTCGATAAAAAATGGGACAAAACAAATCTGGATGCTCAGACCGCGATGACCAGCTCCGGGTTTTCTACCTACCGACCAAGCCAAACTCTGTCACCTTTCCCACAGAAAGGCTTCTCATCTGGAACCTTTAGTTCAGCATCTGAGAAAATGGGCTCTCCTCTGGTTTTTACCATGACAATCCAGTCCTTTTCGAATAATCCACTTGGAGACCCTTCCATCAGCTGATATGGACACCAAGATCTCTCTCTTGTCATCCCCCGTGGTTCCTCTGTCTTGTTCTATCCACTGCAGTTGCCAAACCGGTCCCAGATGTTTCTGAGGTGACTCGCTAAAACAGAAAGGCCAAACACAAACCATTTAAAGATTTAAAGAAGACCTTGGCGTATAAGTGATAAGAACAATACCCCAAATGATCGTTCTTTTACTCGTGTAACGACTCTTTTGTTGTTCAAACCCATACTTCAATTATTTTGCATTTGTATTCATCCTGCGGGGCTGGGGTGGGTTGCATATAGCTCAGGGCACACATGTAGAGGTCAGACTATAGTGCTAGAGTCCACTCTCTCTTCCCTGACAGGAATCCCAGGGATGAAATCCATCTCAGGTCATCACGTTCCGTGAAAAATGTCTTTAACTGCAGAGCTGTCTCATTGCTCCTTTTATTTTATCTTTTTAAAATTTATTTATTTAGTTATTTCCTTATTTGTGTACTCAAGAACCAAACTTCTGAATAGTTAATCACTTTACTTTAATATTTTACATGGTATTTCTTATGTCTTTCAAAAGGAAATTTTTACTGACCTATAATTGTATTGCCTTTTTTAAAAAAAATAAAAAGAAATATAAAAGAAAAGATTTTCTTCTTGGGATCTATATTTTTTGCTTTATATATTCACTCTTTAGACATGTTGAATGAGTAACTTTATTTTTATAGTTTCTTTTCCATTATTCAAATCAATTAGTCTTTGGACTGTTATTCAAATAGACAATCCCCGCTACATATTTCATTCTTCTCCCTATACTTTTAGGATTACCCACTGGTTTGCTTCTGAGATTTCACTTTTTTAAAAACCTGAAACTATCTCTCAGATTACTGACCTTTTCTAGCTGATGAATAGAGAGCTCTATTCCTATTATTTATTCCCTTGACTATTTTATATAAACTTTCCAATACAATAAATAGCTTTGAACTTACAGTAAAAGACGGCTTTGGAGATTTGGCTAACCAAACATGGGCCCTTTTCCTAGAAACAAGCAGCAGGGTCCATGCTACAGTAGTAAGACCCTCTGCCTTGATGACGACAGCTAGTCTCAGCTAAGCATGTTCTGACTCTGCTACAAATAATATACCACATCTTAGCCACTCTGAAATTTGGTCTAAACAAAACAAAACAACAACCACCTAACTCGTTTGAAATTAGCTTTTTTTTTTTTTAACCTGCCTGTATTCTTCTCATCACGCATTAACTCGTTCGTGCCTTCTCAGACATGCCCTGCCGGCACGTGCTAAATATTTCATGATATAATGAGAACCCAGAGGAAGGCACCTTCCCTCCCCCGCTCTCACTGAGATGACACAGGAGCTCAGAAAGATCCACCAGTCCGTCTCCTCAGCAACAGACAGTTTGTGTAGCACGATAAGCCTTAAGATTAAGGCGTGTGGGGTACGCACAAAATGAGAATGAAGTTTCTTAGAGGAGATAATATAAAGCAATTGTTTAGGAATATCCAGAAGCCGCTAAGCCAAGATAAGTGTGTTGGTGAGGCAGGGAGAGGAGAGGATGGGGGAGGCAGTGAGGGTGACAGACTCCAGGTGGAGACAACAGGAGGGCACATTAGGCATTTTGAAAACAATGGTATTACAGTCTCAGAAGGAACAGAATATTCACTTCAAAGTAAAAACAGTCACTCATACAACTGGTCCTGGGCGAGAGAATAAGCAGGCCTGCCGCGTTTGCTCATCTGGCTGGGGGACTCTCACCTGCTGTCCAGAACTGGAGTGTTACTGCTGCTCTGCACGTTGTAAATCGCAACCGTGCCGTTGTGGTAGCCAACTGCTAGCAGATTAGGTGAGCTGATCGAAAAGTCCACAGACGTAACTCCATAGGAACTCTGATAAATGCGCTCTGGCCACTGTGGGGGGAGGGGGAAACGGTCCCTTTACACTGTGGGCATTTTACAGAGCACGGGAAGGTCGCCTGCAATGGCGGCTGAGGATATCTTGCGCTGGCGGGGAGTGTGAGAAGTTAGTCTAGTTCAGTTACTCCAGTCCATAGCTTCTACCAAACATGAACACCAATCTTCAAACACTTATTTCCTTAACTCGCTATAAAGCCTTAGTCCTCGATGGCTTTATGAATGCATTGTGGACTTCTGCATAAGTTGTCCCATGTTGGTACTCCTCCATCAAGGATGAGTGTGACCAGCACGTTTCACTCCCCATAGAAACGCACAATGAGCTGCAAACAGATCGTGCATCTTCTGCCGTTTGCTTTAGAACCCTGGATTGTTTCGTGATTTCTACAAAGCACATAGAAAAAACATCTTCCCAAACTCACTAAGCTACTTCTTTTTACAACTCTGTCATGGCTGGACTAAAGCCTTTCCTCTGTCTAATCCCTATGTGAAAAGGGGACAAGCTCCTGAGGACGATTCTGCCTATGTTCCCATATTACGACAGCATATTCCTCTGTGTGTTAACCCAGCAGCCTGACGGACCACGGCTACTCACAGTAACTTTAATCACTGCGGATGTTCTTTTACCCTCCACGTTTGCAGCTTCACATTTTACTTCTGAGTTAAATTTAAGTTATACAGCAACAGATGGGGCAGGGCTATTTAGTTAAAAGCCTATTGTCACTGTCATTCTTTCTCCTTATAAAATTCATACTGTTATATTATATTATGTTATTAAGCTCGAAATCTGGGTCACCAGATATCTAGATTGACTGATAGGATTGTCCACTGGCTTGACTCTGAGATTTAATAGATTTTTCTGAGAAAACGTGATTATTTCTCAGATTACTAGCTCTTTTTCTAAGAGATGAGTGGAGGGTTCTATTCCTATTATTGACCCCCTTGGTTACATGTTTTGTTTTGCAGGGGCTTTCAGGTACAGACTCTTTTATACTTAGCTGTGATAACACGGTAAATAAAAGATGCTGGGAATGTATTGTGTGGAGCCATAAATGATTTCCCTTCACCCCATGTAAAACAAAAACAAACTGGACTTATTATGGATTTAAGCTATAGGGAACAATGAGGACCAGGGAGGTGGCTCTGTTGGGAAAGCCCTTGCCTTTTCAAGCCTGAATTCCAGTTCCAGAAGCCATGGAGAAACTGGGTTCTAGAGGCATGTGCTTTTAATTCCAGCAGAGACGAGGGAATCGCAGGCTAGCTAGCCGGCCTGTCTCATCTAGTAGACGAGTTCCAAGTCAGTGAGAACCTCTGAGTCACAGACAGAAGGTTAAGACTGAAATAATAATCTCCAGGGCTATGTGCTCTGACCCCCCCCCACACACACACACACAAGTGCATGCACACCTGCACACCTGAGCTCTTATACATGTGAACACACACACAAGAAAATGGAAAGTCTTGACTGATAAAATAGTCTGGACTTTGCTGGATTACTACACACAGGCCTACCATGTACAAAACCCTGTCAATATTTAATGAGATAAAAATATTCTTGTTCCTGTTTGGGTTACCATGGGGTTCTTTATTGACCAGCAGCAAGCCATTCCTCTTTTTTGCTCTTTAAATCCAAAGTTCCCATAGCCAACAGCCAAAAGGTCCTGAAAACCAGAAAAAAAAAAAAGACACTTAAGGGGATGGCAAGAAATAGTAACAAATGTATAAAAATACCTACTAATGAACTATTTAAAAATATTAGTAAACTAGAGGGCTAGGGCTGGGGCTGTGGGGATAGGACTGCAGCTCAGTGGTGGAGTGCTTGCTTAGTGTGTCCAATGCTCTGAGCTCAAACTACACTAAGTATCTACTCCAAAGATAGATGTTGTGGAATATTATTTTAAGATGTGTTACAAGCCGGGTGGTGGTGGCACACGCCTTTAATCCCAGCACTCGGGAGGCAGAGGCAGGCAGATCTCTGTGAGTTCGAGACCAGCCTGGTCTACAAGAGCTAGTTCCAGGACAGGCTCCAAAACCACGGAGTAACCCTGTCTCGAAAAACCAAAAAAAAAAAAAAGTATTATATCTGTTTATGTTGTGGAACATTTGTTTAATGATGCAAAAATGTGTTGCATTCTTATATGTTACATTTGTTTAACTGTGTGAAACTGTGTTACTGTGCCTGTCTAAAACATCTACTTGGTCTAATAAAGAGCTAAATGGCCAATAGCTAGGAAGGAGAAAGGATAGGCGGGGCTAACAGACAAAGAGAATAGATAGGAGAAAAAGAGGAATAGGAAAGCAAGAGAAGATCAAGGAGCGAGAAAAGAAGGAGCCAGCCACTCAGCTACCCAGCCAGCCACCGAGTAAGAGCACAAGTAAGATTACAGAAATAAAAAAAAGAAAGAAATCCCAGAGCCAAAACTGGATGTGATAATTTAAGCTTAGGAAAGCTGGCTAGAAAACAAGCCAAGCTAAGGCCAGGCATTGATAAGTAAGAATAAGCTTCTGTGTATGATTATTTTGGGAGTTTAGTGGTGGGCCCCTCAAAGAACAAAAGAGCAAAGAGCCAAAAAAATAAGAAAACAACCAACTACAGATACTTTCATTCCTGAAGTTATATTTGGACTGACTAGTTGGGGAATATCTTCAGAAGCATTTTATAAAACCTGGGAAACCTCAGACTTGTTACCCTGTAAACATCTGCCTTTAAAAGCAAAGAAACCAATCCCTAGCTCAGTGGTTCTCGCCCTTCCTGATACGGTGACCCTCTTGTAGAGTTTCTCCTGCTGCAGTGATCCCAAGCACAAAATATATTTTTGTTGCTACTTCATAACTGGAAGTTTGTTATTGTTAAGAAATGTAATGCAAATATGTGTTTTCTGATGGTCTTTGGGGGTGGTGACCCACAGATTTAGAATCTAATTTGTCTGCCTCAAGATTGCTTTGGGAACTCTACCAGCTATCTGCATTTGAATTCTGGCTGCTTCATTTCCTGTTTGGGTGAGGTTGGAGAAATGATTGTCTCTGTGCCTCTCACTCCCTATCAACATAGTGGAGGATCTTATTCAAACGGGAAAGTTAGTACGAGGCTGCAGATGGGCACTATGGAGCATGGAGTGCTCTTCCAGAGGACCTGAGTCCAGACCCCAGCACCCGCATTGTGCTCACAAACACCTCTAACTCCAGCTCCAGGGGATTGGTTTGCCTTTGGCTTCCTAGTGCACTGCATTCAAGTGAACACGTTCACACACAAACACATGTACACATAATTTAAAAGAGTAAATATAAAATATTTTTTAAAAACTTTAAGCATTTCCTGGCAAACATGAAGTGCTGCATAATTTAACAGTAATAATAGCAGTGTTGCTGAGTAATCCCATTTTTACACATTGGCATGGTCCAAATATGACTGCTTGAGGAGACGGAAAATGTAGGTATATGAATTTTGGTACAGGTTAAAATAAGTCAACCACACACTATTTTCTAGTATATGTCACATCATCTGGCATGGACTTGGAGGGTACCATGAGCCAAGCACACTCTTAAAATAAAGATGGTAAGCTGAGCAATAGTGGCACACACCTTTAATCCCAGAACTAGGAAGGCAGAGGCAGGCGAATCTCCGTGAGTTCGAGACCAGCCTATTCTACAAGATCTAGTTCCAGGACAGGCTCCAAAACTACAGAGAAACCCTGTCTCAAAAAAACAAAATAAGATAAAGATGATAATGTTTTTATATGTAAGGAGAAAAATAACTATTTGCATTTTCTCCTTTTTTAAACATAAACTTCATTCAGAGACATTTTAAAAATAGGTGTTACAGCCTGATGTGGGAGTGATTTTTTATTAATAAAGAAACTGTCTTGGCCCATTTTATTGGATAGAAAATTAGGTAGGCGGAGTAGACAGAGGAGAATGTTGGGAAAAAGAAGCTATGTGAGGAGTCGCCATGATTTTTTCGCTCCAGACAGACGTAGGTTAAGATTCTCTCTGGTAAGCCAGTTTGTGGGCTACACAGAATATTAGAAATGGGTTAGAACAATATGTAAGAGCTAGCCAATAAGAAACTGGACCTAGCCTGGCCAGGCAGTGTTTGAAAGAATACAGTTTCCGTGTAATTATTTCGGGCATAAGCTAGCCATGAGGGCGGCCGGGTGCCGGGGACGCAGCCTCGCCGCTCCTATTTCAACAACAGCCAGGTTAAATCCTTTGCCCATGGCTGAATAAAAACAAAGAAACAAGCAACAACCCTTCATTCTAGAATTTGCCAGTGAGGACCAGCAAGGCGGCTCAGTGAGTAGACGTGTCTGCCGCACAGATGATGACCTGAGTTTAGGGCCCAGACCCTCCCACCCCCAAAGACAGATGCAATGGCTCACGTTGTAATTCCAGAGGTGGAGACAGTACAATCATTTGGAGACTCACTGGCCAGCTAGCCACACACACACACACACACACACACACACACACACACACACAAATGAAAATTTACAAAAGACCGTCCTTTAAACACTCGGCTGGAATTGTTAGAGCATCTGGGGACTTACTGGATTTGCTTTATTCCAGGCGAGGCTGCTCACATTAAGGCCTTTAGTTAAGTCACAGGCGAAAGACCAGAGCCGCTCCAGATTGGCTGGTATTGTTGACTGCTCTGTGGCTATCTCTAGTTCCAGTTCCATCTCCATTTCTTCTTCGTCCTCCTTACTCTCCTCCTCTGTTTCCTCGAGATTTTCTTCTTCCTTAACTTCTTCCAACTCTTCAGGTTCACGTTCTAAAGTTAAATCAAACAGAGATAGCATTGTTCTCTAGACCAAAGAATCTGAATAGGTTCCCTGTCACTGATGCTTACAGCACCACTGGATCTGCTGGAATACACAGCCAAAGGGATGGGGCACCTGAATGGTAATTCAGATCGACTGAAGCATTCTGAGAGCAGACTTTCTGGTTCCTCGGAGAACGGGCCAGAGCAGCACATCAAAATGCTGCTACCTTGAAAATGTAAAGCAAGCTTTGTGCTTTTTTTGTTAGGAAGGGGCCAACAACTTTACCTTTGGAAGTATACAGCTCAAGTCTGGGGAGATGGCTTAGTGAGTAAGAGTGCTTGTTCTGCAAACATAAGGACCCAAGTATGAATTTCTGGAACACAAGAAAAAAGCTGAACATGGTCACACATGCTCATAACCCTAGGATTGTGGGGCAGAGATACGCAGATCCTAGAAGCTCACTGGCTGGCCAGCCTATCCAAAAACAGAGGAACTTCTGATTGAGTCTCGAGGCGATAAGGCAGAGAGCGAATCCCTTCTTCCTTAAGGTTCCTTTCTCAGGTATTTTGTTATGCAACTAGACAAGTAATCCTGGTATGAAGCTATAACCAGAACAACACTGGAATTTAAATCACCACCTTTATAATAATTTATAATAATTATAATATTTTGTAATAATACTATTTATAATAATTCACTGTTTTTCTCCAAGGTCCATCTTCTTTCTAAATAAGGCAAATATATGAGGGGAACAAAAAATGTCCTGGGAGCCCATCTGCCTGCCTATTTAAAGTCCTTGGCAGTAGCGCTTGTACTGGAAGGCTGAGTTCATCTCCAGAAAAAAAAAAAAAAAAAAAAAAAAAAAAAAAAAAAAAAAACCTACTCAGTGGACTGGAACCTGTACAGGGACCTGGGTTCCAGACCCAGAAAGTAGAAAACTGAAAATAAATTTGCAAATAGCTAAAATCAAATATTCTGTGAACATATTATAGGGGATTTGTAGTGGTAAGGATGGGATGAACGTCCCTGTCGCTAATATTAGGAAGCAGAACTAAAACAGTTGAAACCTGAGACTTAATGGCATTGCAAAGGAAAACCAAACATGAAAAATACTATAAAAAACAAGTGCTTAATTTGATGCAGGAACAAGGAGAGAATAAGGACAAAGATGTTTTTGAAGTTTTAATTTGAGGGACAACCCTTCTGTGAATTCCCTAGTCTGGACTTTGGTGCTACCCACATGCATGATAGGTAGTTAATAAGTGGCTAAAATTACATAAGTGCACTCGTTATTAAGTGATAACTAGAGTGGAAACTACATTTAGAAATATGTTTTAGGACAATTAATTTTTTAAATTATTTGAGTTTGATCGTGATTACTTTTAAAAGGTACCTTTTAAAACAGGGAGTTGGCGATAGGCTGCAAGCTTCTGCTGAAATACATTTTCCATTAAAACCCTTTCCATGAAAAATAAGTCTTGTTGAAGCTTCTCAGATTTTAATATGGCCCCTGAATGGTCTTCTTCATCTTCATGAACTTTAGCCAGAATTACATTTTCTATATCCATGAGGGAGCTAGTTTCACTATCTGTAAACAGAAATACAACTCACTTACAAAAGACCCACACAGTAGTAGGTGGTTCGTGTATTTTAAAGATTTTTTTTTACAATTATATCGTATAATTTCTGCCTTCTTTCCATTTCCAACCCCTTCAATAGTCATGTTTTTGAATCTGTCATGCACAAAGAAAGTGCGATGCGCGCATTTAACTCATTGTGCGGCTCTTATCCATCAAAAGACACATTGCTTTTCAGAGGGTAAGCAATATTAGCCTTGAGGTAACATGCAGATATGGAAAGCATGAGGGCTCAGATGCATTTTCTTATAAACGCAGTAACCTGGAGTGGGGGCCCTATTCCCATGATGCCATCTAACGCCGCTATCGCCCCCAAAGTTCACTTGCAGACAACATGAACGTAGACACCTTTAATCCCAGCACTAGGGAGACAGAGGCAGAGGGACCTCTCTTCGTTCAAGGCCACCCTGGCTACCCAAGATTGAATCTGTTTGAAAGAGAAACAGAGCTCACACAAAGGTAATTCCAGCACTAGGGAGGCGGAGACAGGATGTGGCTGGGTGGAGAGAGGAATATAAGGCAGGAGACAGGAGCTCAATGCAGCCTGAGGTTTGGTGGAGACAGATGCAGCCTGGAGATGCAGTCTCAGGACAGGAACGCCCCTTTGTTCTGAGCATTGGTGGAGGTAAAAGAACTCTCTAGTGGCTGACTGCTTTGCTTCTCTGATCTTCAGCATTAACCCCTGACTCTTGTTTTTTTTTATTATTATTATTAAGACCAACTGGAATTCGTGCTACAGACTAAGGTTTTGGCCCTTTTAGTACTATGTGTTTATATTGGGCAAACAAATTATGAATGATAGTCTTCTAATTTGAAGATAAATCTGTAATTGTCAAAAAAAAATCTTTCCTCCATTGAAAGGTAGTATATTCACAGATTTGGGGGACTGTGGAGGCTAACCTTGGTTGTTAAGTTGACTGAATATGGAGTCAACAAAAACAGACACCACTGGGCATTCCTGTGAGGTTCTGAGTCAGATTATCTGAAGCAGGAAGACCCACCCTAAATGTGAGTGCCTTCTGGAGGCAGCCCACATAAAAGGACATTAAAGAAGGAAACTTTCCTTCTTTGGGCCTACTTGCCCTCGTTCTTGTTGGCACACTCATCCATCCTGCTGCTGTGGCATTTCTTCATAACATTAGAACCAACTTCTTTGTGACGCCAATGTAGACTGGAGATCAGCAGGACTCGTCCAGCACCAGATTAGGACTGTCGGGACATGCAGCCTCTGAGACTGAATGACTAAAGTGGTCTCAGTCTTTCCAGTATGAGACTATTGATGGACCACACCCTGTAAGTCAATCTAATAAGTCCTATCCCTATCTTTATCTCTAGATTGTGATGATTGGAGTGAGAACAGTCCCCAAGAGTGCATATGTTTGAATACTTGGTCTCCAGATGGTGGAACTGTTTGGGAAGGATTGAGAGTGTGGTCTTGTTGGAGGATGTTTGTCAGTGTATGTGTGGGGGGTGAGGTTTCAAAAGAATGGTGACATCATCAGTATGCTCTCTCTGTCTCCTGCTTGTGGATCAAGATGTGAACTCTCGACTCTTCCTACCACCATGACTTTGCTCTGCCATCAAGGATTCTAGCCCTGTAAAAGCAAAAACCCAATTAAATGCTTTATTTTATATGTGCACAAATACGCTGGTCATGGTGTTTTATCGTAGCAACAAAAAAGTAACTGATCCCTCAGTTCTGAAAAAAAAAAAAAAAGACAGGGAGTAGAAAGTATACAATAGACCAACAAAAAGAGCCCTGGAGAGGAGAAAAGAAGTAAGATTATTCGGGGTCCTTGAAACCTAAAGAAAGGCACAGTGGTGAAGGAAGCCTGTTCAGAGGGTCAAGGAGCAGCTTTAACAAAGCTGTTTGAGGCAGCTTGTCAACTGTCGCGGTTATCCTGCAGAACTGGGGGAAAGTGCAAAGGCCAAGGGACAGCCTGGCTTCCATCCTCCCCAAATGAGGCTTTGACATCATGTGTGGTATCAGAGAAGCTATAGTAGAGGACCAGAACATCCACCTCTACCACATAGGAGAATACCAGACATGCACAGCTGGGGAGCCCAGGATTTCTCAGACACCAGGGATTAACAGGTTTTCCCATCTCCCAACTGAAGCTGACAGAGCCAGGAATCAGAATTTTTATGATCATCTAGCAATAATTACAATAGTCTCTATCTTGTGATGATGCTGTATTTGGCTGAGTGGGTGACGAGGCAATCCTATCTGCTGTAGCCACAGAAGAACAAAGGAAGCTGGGGTGCTCAGCACAGTTCAGCAGTCACATCCCCCAGGCGCCACAGGAAAGTCAGGTAAACAAAACAAAAAACCTGATCTATTGAGTCTGGTGCATGCATATCATCCCAGCTCTCAGGAGGCTGAGGGAGACAAGTGAGTCTAGAACACCTCGGTCACAGGGCGAGTTCCTATCTAAAAAACTCTGAGCTTCTGCCACCAATCGGCAGTCCTGAGACAAAGACTCCCACTCCCTGGATAACTCACTGTTGAAGCCTGGTAATATGCAAGCTTTTCATCTAGATTTCAATTGAAGATCACTCCCTGTACCAAGAGCAAAGAAAACCTCAACTTGAATTGAAAAGATGATAATCAGCAGACACAAACACCAAGCTGAGAGAGACAGTAGAATTATCTAACAAAGAATTTACATAGATCATTATAAAAATCCGTTTTATAAACATCCTTGGAACAAATAAAAAGTATTATCAAAGGAAAAGAACACCTAAATGAAAGAGAAGAAGAACGAAAGGGATTACAGGACTGAAAATCATACTCAGAATTCAAAATTTCAATTAACGGGTTCAATAACACACAGAGATCTGACTGGCTCTGCCACGGAGTGCTGGGATTAAAGGTGTGTGCCACTACATCCAGCTCATTTAATAAAGCAAAAAACTGATCTTAAAAACAAGTGACAAGATGGCTCAGTGGTGAAGAATGCATACTGCTCTTATAAAAGACCAAACACAATTCCCAGCTCCCGCATCTGGCAACTCCTAACCGCCTGTGACTCTGACTTGAGGGACGCTGATGTCCTCCTCTGGCTTCCTCCTACGCAGCACTCAGGTGCACAGGCCCCACTGCCATATATTTAAAATAAAAATTGTATTCAAACTCAGGAGAATAAACATAAATAAAAACATAAAATAAAACTACTCTGAAAAAACATAATGAATAAAGCCTCGGGGCCCTATGAGATTATAAAATTCAGGTGATTAGCCGGGCGGTGGTGGCGCACGCCTTTAATCCTAGCACTCGGGAGGCAGAGGCAGGTGGATCACTGTGAGTTCGAGGCCAGCCTGGTCTACAAGAGCTAGTTCCAGGACAGGCTCCAAAGCCACAGAGAAACTCTGTCTCAAAAAAACAAAAACAAAAAAAAAATTCAGGTGATTATTATTTCAGAAGGAGAGAAAAGTGTCACATGAAAAAGTGCCTGAAAACAACGCTGAAAATACATAGAACCGAGCAAAGAACAAAAACAATGTGAAGAAACTGAGTGAGCCTTGAAGAGGAAATCTAAAGATAGCCACCAAAGACTTACCATATTTGTACTACTGAAAACAGAAGACAAAAATAAAAAAAATGATGAGAGCAGTGAAGGCGAGAGATATTTATAGGAAGAAATTTATTTGCGTATCAACACACTTTTCATTAGAAACAAGAGATTGCAGAAGATTTTGCGTTTGTTCTCTGAATGATGGATGAAAAGAACTATTCACACAGAATTCTGTAGTAAAAACATCCAATAAACACCAGGAGACGATGAAGCTCAGTGAGTAAGGTGTTGCCATGCAGGCATGAGGACCTGCGCTCAGTGTGGATAAGCTGGGGACAGGCAGGGCCCGGCGGCACACATCTCGAATCCTGCACTCAGGAAACAGAGTCAGGTGGGTCTCTGAGACCAGCATGGTCTACATAGTGAGTTCCAGTCCAGCTAGGGTTACATAGCTAGACCTTGCCTAAGGAAGCAGGAGCAACAGCAGCAGCAGCTGGCTACAGTGTTTCTCACTCCTAACCTAAGAGAGACAGATTCCTACAGCTTACTGGCAAGACAGTGGAGCCAAATTGTTGGGTCTAAGACCAGTAGGAAACTCTGGCTCAAAAAATAAAGTGTAAAGCACTTGAAAAATGACAACTTGAGCTGTCCTTTGATCTCTTCATGTATACATGAGTATATACATGCACAACTGAGCATACATAATACACATAAACCCACAAAGTGTGTAACACAAATATATTTTATTTCTTCGAAGATATTTGTGATTGAAGAATTAATTACATTGTCTTATGAAGTTCTAAATATCAAGATGTCTTCCTTAATATCTAGAAGAAATACACAAGGCAAACATTATAAACCAAAGAAGGTATGCTCATGCCTATAATCCCAGGGCTCAGGAGGCAAACACAGGGAGATAACAGCAAGTTCCAGGCCAGCTTAGTGTTCACAGGTTCCAGGAAGGCCAGGGCACATGATAAAATCTTGCCTCAAGAAAACCAAAACCAACCACCAAAGGCAGAAGTCAAACTGGTAACATGTTGATGCCAGTGAAATTTGGTAAGTTATGCATATGTAATGCCATATGCAGATTAGTAACCAACTGAACAGAAATGCAAAGATAAGCTGGAACAGACGGACATACACAGATGTAAGCTAAAAGGTAACTAAAAAAGGAATAACAACCAAAAGATAGTAAAAATCAATCAATAAATAAAATGAAACAAAACCAGAAAGCAAATAATAAAAGACGCAATGTTCTAAATATTCTAACTTAAAGGCAGCTAGCCGGAGTGTCCAGCAGCAAGCAGTAACAAGATTGTCTCAAACAGGCTGGAAGGTGAGGACCCACATCCAAGTTTGTCTTCTGACCTCTGTTCACACTGGTGTAATGCACATACACATATAAACTTGCACACTCACATATAAACTTGCACACTCACATATAAACTTGCAAACTCACACAAATATGCACATATACATATATGTGAAAAAAAGTTTAGAAAGAGAGAGAAAGGGAAAAAATGCACTAGAGAAAAACTTAAAAACAAGGCCTGGCATGGTGGCAAATGCCTTTTATCCCAGAGGAAGGAGGATCTCTGTGAATTGGAGGTCAGCTGGGTGCACATAGAAAGTTACAGGCCCCAGTCTGAAACAGCAACAAACTCTTGACAGGCATCCAAGACAAAAACAAAATGAAAAAAAAAAAAGAAACCTTAATTTCATGCTTGGAATCCAGGAAACTGAAAGCACCGGCAGAATCCCTGAGAAAAGCTGTACTTTCCATGTTCTGTGCACAGGGAAACCTGGGACCTGCAGCAGCAGAAGGTAAAGCGCTGAGTGGAGACAGCCTGCAAACCCTGCAACCGACGGAAGCACCTCACCTCTGCCCATGTACTTACCGTCTAGGTTCTCGTTCTGGTCTTTAGCAAGTAAATTTCCTTTACTTCCAGCCACGGATGATGGTTTTGCTGACAGCAAAGCTTCGGGAACGTTGAAAGAATCATACAAATCCCAGGCGGTGGCCATTATGCCTGGACAGACAGAAAAGGCAAAGGATTTCAAAACAAATTTTAATATTACAGCTTTGGAAAAATCTAAAATTATTTTCTATTAAAAGCACATTAATTTTAACGACATTGGCAGGAAAATACCAGAAATAATTCATGAGGACACCTTGGGAGATCCTGAGCCACCTCACTATTAGCTTCTAGATATGCCTTCATGTTTTAGGGATAGCCCAGGTTACCCACACTCTCATCTGTCTCTCCATCTTTCCTACCCAGGCTTGAGAAGAATCACCTCATCAGCCTGTCACTGCAAGGCTGCCATGGGATACGGAGCTGGGCAACACCCAGATAATGTTTTTGCTAGTGACTGACACACAACAGCTTATATTTTACAGATCTGCTCATGGGAAGCATCTCATTCCTTTTTACTCAGTAAAGTTCCCTATACAACTATTTAGGTAAAAACATTGTGCTTGTTAGGATGATGACATTGTCAAAAACCTTAATTGCATTTATTCAAATCATCAAATACAGCAATGGTGACCAAATACAAGCTGAAAGCATCATTTATCTTCAAAAAATAATTTAAAAAGCTCCCATCCCCTTTTACTACCAATTTACTGCTTATGGGTACTACATTCCTACCGCTGACCCTACTACCTTTCCGTTAATAGTGTGGAGTTTTTGTTTTCTTTTTCAGAATGATGTTTTAGTAAGAACTTTTCCTTTAAAACTCAAGATGGAATCTAGGCCTAGTAAGTGTAGCCATTTCTACTAGAACCATACAATATAAAACCAAGGCTCTCAGCAAAAATGGAAGACGAGAAGGAGGAAGAGGGGAGGCAGAAGGGGAATAGGAGGACGGGGAAGTTTTGTTTTTGAGGTAGGATGCCATGTAGGTAGGCTAGTCTCAGATTAGCTATGTGGACAAAGATAACTGATTTCTTGGTCCTCTCATTTTTGCCTTTCCAGGGCTAGAGTTCCAAGGATCCATTGCCATGCCAAAAGTGGGTTGTTTTTAATGTGTGAGTACATGTGTGTGCATGTTAATGTGTGTGGGTGCAGGTGTGTGAGAGCTGGCTCCACTCCTTGCCTGGGGGAGTTTGTTCCAGCATCCTAACTGAGGAGCTTAGCTACCACCCAGGCTCACATGCTGGGCCTTCGGATAGCCCATCCTAAACACCTACCCCATCTATGACCTCCTGGAGCACATGCACATAACTATAGCTGCAGGATCTTTATGTCTCCGGGTAATAGCAGGATAGAGGAGTTTTGGTGAAGATCCAGTATTGATGGTGTACCAGGAGCCAGAGGCCCTGGATCTAAGCAACAACTCATTGCGGATGGGGCTGACTGGACAAAAGGGAATAATGCATGGCACACTGCAGCTCCCAATGCCACTAGGACAAATGAAGAGGTGTTGGAGAGGTGGGAAAGAAGGGAGGACGAGGTGGGATTTTTGTTGTTGTTGTTTTTAATTAATTTTTTGGGGGGTGGGTACTTCTTTTGAGGAGAGATGATGCTACAAGGCGAGGGGTGGATATGGAGGGACTAGGGGGTGAACGGGATTTGGGTGCATGATGTGAAATTCCCAAAGAATCAATAAAGAATTATGTTATTTTAAAAAATCTGAGCTGGGTGATGATTGTGCATGCCTTTAAACCCAGAACATGGGAGGCAGAGGCACGCAAATCTCTGTGAGTTCAAGGCCAGCCTAGTCTACAGACCGAGTTCCAGGACAGGCTCCAAAGCTACATAGAGAAACCCTGTCTCTAAAAACAAAACACAACCAAAACAAAACAAAACAAATCTGCAACCTAGTGGATTTGCTAATTCTTCCCTGCTGAGTGCAGTATATACAATTCACATGTGTGCCTGGTACAGCCAGAGAAGCAGAGCCTCTTCCGAAGGAGTAAGATCAGAATGCACACTGTCTGAAGCTGAGCAGAGCCAACAGCACACCCAGAAGTGGCTAAGCGTTAATTTCATCTACTGCCCTTTCCTTCCAAACGAGTCCCTTCTTTTTCCCTGGAAAAGAGGCCACAGAGTGAAAATGTAACTGAAATCCCTCCATTTGCACAAAGGGTGGAGTAAGTTAGTAAGGAGATGAAGGGGTAATTCACAGCATCCTCAAATCACTCAAGACAACATCTTATAAAGAGGCTCAAGAATTACATGAAGAATAGTAAAAGCAAATGGAATTGCTGAGGCACACCTACAATCCCAGCCCACAGAGGCAGAGGCAGAAGGACCGTTGAGAAAGAGACCATCCTGTGCGATATACCAAGCATGAGGCTAGCTTGAGCTACACAACAAATTCAACAGCCTAGGCAGCATAGCAAGGTTCTTTCTCTGGTTTAAAAAAAAAAAAAAAAAGTCACATAGCAGAAGCCTGGTAGTGAAAGTGGTTGAGCTATCATTGAGTCACCGGGATAAATGTCACTTGATCATAATGTACAGTCCACTTCATGCAGGGTTGAATTGAGCTTGTTAGTATTATGGGAGGGGTATATTCAAAATCATTTTTTTTTGGAAGAGAGGATGGAAGATTAGCATTAAGTCTTCTATTTTTAAAAAAAAAAAAAAACTGTTAGAATTCACCTGAGGAACCATAGACCCTGGCGTTCTCTCTGAGGAAAGGCTTAGGATTGTTAGATCAATTTCTTTACTTTTGGTAGATCGAGTCAGATTTTCTACTATCCCTTGAGTCAGACCAGGCCACTTGTGTCTGTAGAGGAATGCTTCCACTTCATCTAGCTATCTACGCTGGCATACCGTAGTTTACAATATTCTATCACAGCACTGGTGGAGGATCCACAGTCACACCTGCCCTTTGATAACCGAGTCTCCTCTTTTTCAGTAACCAGTACAGCAAATTGGCTGATTTCATTCACGTTTCCAGAGCACCAGCTTCTGGTCTTTATCTAGTTCACTCTTCTCTATTTCGCTCGTTCTGTTACTTCTGTCCTTCTACTAGAGTTGGATTCAATCGTCTTCAGTATCCTGAGCTGTAAAATTAGCTTATTAATTTGAGCTCTTTCTTCCTTCTGAATTGTCTGGCTATTCCTCCTTAAGCAGTGCTTTGAAACATTCCATACATTTTGGTACGCTGGGTTTTCATCTTTCAAAACACATTCGCATTTTCATTTGGAGTAGAATACTGTGCTGATTTTTGTTGTGTCAACTTTGTTTCTTGTCTTGTGGATGTGACGCACGGCCCTCACACGTGCTACGCAAGACTCTACCACGGAACTACAGCCCAACACTCTCTACGTGGTTTACGCATCTGTCTGGCTCTTCCGCTCATTACTGGGAAGGCATGTTAAAGCATTATTGCGGGACTAATGCTCGCCTCACTGAGCCCACTCTTGCTGCTTATTTAGATCTCTCATGTTTACAACTGTTATGTTTTCCTTGTGGACTGAGCCATTGATTACTACACAGTGTTCTTTGGTACTTATGAGGATTTCCCAAAGTCTTCATCTGATTGGTAAAGCTGTCTCCATTTTCTCTTTCATGCGTACTTAGCCATTCAGTCAAGCCTCTCACAGAGATCTTATATTCAGCCAATCTTTTTCAACTGTACAGCATAATTCACTTATATTTAAAGTAATTACTAATGTGGAATTGTTGGTTTTTAAAAAACATCTTGATATTTGTATTCTCTCTACCTCTGTTTCTCAACTCCTCAGTGACTATTCTGTGTATAACTGATGTTTTGGTAGTGTCTCATTTTTATTCTGTTCTTATCTTCCTTTCCCTAACTTGTAGGATGTATATTTTTGTTGTCATCATTTTTTTTGTATGTTGGCACCATTTAAGGATTATAATCAAATTTTGAAAATTAAACCTATTCTTAATTTAATAACTTTGTAAATCGCATATTAAAACTTTCCTTTTTATACAATTCTGCCCCACCACTTTGTTTTTGAAAAATGTATTCTCTACATAGTGTAAGTCCATTAACAACCATAACACTGTTTTATCAATATCTCTAAAATTTAATATTTATTTTTATGTCATGAATGTTTTATCTGTGTGTATCTATGCATGCAGTGCCCACAAAGGCCAAAAGAAGGCGTTGGATCCTCTGGAGCTGGAGTTACAGATGGGTGTAAGCCACTATGTGGGTGTGGGAATGGAACCCAAATCCTCTGGAACAGCGTCCAGTGCTCTTGACCACTGAGCCACCTCTCCAGGCCCTCGGCATCTCTTCTAAACTCTCCTGCAAATGGGCTCTGCCCTTGCCGTGTGTTTGTAACTGCTCTTCAGTTTCCTGTCGGGCGTCTGTCTCCTGCCCTCCGTTTTCTGCCTACAGGACTCTAATTAGCATTCATTTAAAGGAAATCTGCCATCAATAAATTCTGTTCGCTTTTGAAGACTCAGAAGTATCTTACTTTCTTCGCTTCTAAAGGATCTGGCATTTTTATTTGACAGCGCTTCTTTTGCTTTCGAACTTTAAATGTCACAGAGCTAACGTCTGCCCTCCATGGTTTCCAGTGCAAAATTTAGTATTAAAAATTAGACTGTGTGTGATAAATCATTTTTATATTGTGACTTTCAAAATCCTCACTCTGTGTTCTGACTGACTATGCATGTGTCTTTGTGTGGATGTCTTTTCAGAGTTCTTCTCAGAGCAGACCCTTAGCAAGTTTAGAGAGACCTGTTCCTCTGCTCCCGGTGCCCCTCCTCACAGTCCCATTGCATCCACACGTGTGCTTACTGTCTCACGGGTTTCCATTAGCGTAGTGTTCTTCCTTCTTGTTCCTCAGACTGAATCTTTTGCAATGATCTATCATCAAGAATTATTATCCCGTCTTCTTTCTTAACTGTTCTGTTGCAAACTATAGGGCACATTCTCATTTCCATTGTTATACACGAAGATGACTCTGAACTCTTGATCCTCCTGCTGGCCCCTCCTGGGAACTGAGGCCTTGCAGGAATGCAGCGTCACACTTCACTTACGCGGTGCTGTGGATCAAATCCAGGGTTCATGCTAATGAGAATCTGTACTTCCTGTCATCAGGCTACCAGGGAAGGAACACCAGCAGGATACCCAGGTACGCCCACACTTCACCCAGGCAAGGATACCCAGGTACACCCACACATCACCCAGACAAGAATACCCAGGTACGCCCACATATCACCCAGGCAAGCCACACCTCTGCTCTGAGGTAGGAATGAGGGAAAGCTAAAGGAGACTGGAGCATTTGTTCTTCTTCTTTCATGTAAAAGGAAGTCTCAGGGGTGAGCAATAAATATCCCCACCTAGAAGACACATGAACGGTCCTTTACAACAAAACAAAACTACACTTCTTTTTACTAGAGGTTTGCATTTTCAATCTTTAGAAGAATCTAGCTCCCAGCTATATTCAGTAATAACTGCAATCAGATTATGCATGTTCTTTCTCCTCGATTGTCCTCTGCCCATATCCCATAGGCTTCTGCAGTATCCTCAGGAACGTTAATCTGTAAACACTGAGAGGTAGTAAGGCGAGTGTTTCAGAGCACGGATTCTAAGACCTGTGTGGGTCACCAACTGAGGTGACTCCTCTGTGCTGATTCCCCAGCAAGGAAATGGAGACTACGATTCAGACCCACTTTACAGCGATATGGTGGTCATTGAACCACTTATGATGGGAAGAAGGGAAGAACTGTGTGGACTATACAGACGGATGTACTGGTAGTAAACTATATCATAAAATCATTTTCTATAAATTGTATAAATGATTGAAGAGCGCAGAGTTCTGATACAAGGTGAATAAAAACTAGTCTGAACAATTATGTTACTCAGATACTTTATATCATTATTTCCCGTCACCTTGTCAAATTCTGAACATTAGAAATTAACAGTACGTAGTACTGAGATCTAGGCAAATCTATTTCCATTTTTTTATTTATATAGTTTTAATATGTGTTGACTGACAGAGTCCAGGAACAGATATCAAAATATAGCAACGGTGTGCCGAGAGGAATAAGACAAATTACCTTTGTCTTCCATTATGATCTTTTCACACTGGACATCTTTATTCTTTGGAGCGCCATTAAATGTTTGCATCATCCGTTCGACATACAGGTCATTGCCTAATCTATTTCTACAAAGGACTTCATAATTCTTATTTTTCAGTCTGCAAAAAAAGCAAAAAGTAGCTGAAGGATTAAAAACTTTCTCCACTGCACGGTGTCGGGTGCTTTCACTAGCACAGAGTGTAACAAATGTCAAGTGAGCGTCAACACCTCCGTAGGAAAATACGTCACTACCTCACCACCGAAGGGCTGTTTCGCGCTGGGCTCCCCAGCGTCCACACTACCGTCAGAGTTTACTAATGTTCAGAGAGTTTAGGGACTTTAATAGGGACATCGAAAGCTACAAATTTGTTCAAAGTATTACTGTTGCAGCATTGTGCGCATGCTGTGTTCATAACTGGTTAGTTGTAAGTATTTTTACATTTTTATTTTTCTGAAACAGGGTTTCTCTGTGTAGCCCCAGATATCCTAGAACTCACACTTGTAGACCAGGCTGGCCTTGAACTCACAGAGATTCATTTGCTTTTGCCTTCCCAGTGCTGGGATAAAAGGCGTGAGGTCACCACTGCTCAGTCTAGTTATAAGTATTTTTAAATTCACATTTTAATTTTATTAATCTGGGAAATATTTCTAATCTCCCAGTGTATATATGAATGCCTCAGTTGGGATGACTCATTGTTCCTTTCAGTGTAGTCAAAGAATTTAGTGTAATTCTACTTTGAAATTTTAATTTAAAATGATTATGCCCCTCCCTTTATTATGAAGTGATCTTTTTCTAAGTATTCTGTCTGCTTTTTTGAAGGTTCTGAATTTTTTTCCTACATTTTCTTGTACTTAAAAAAAAAATCTTCTTTGGGGGTATAGGGTTGGCCCAGTGGTTAAGAGTATCTACTGTTCCTCCAGAGGGCCGGGAGTTGGGCTCCCAGGATCCATACTGGGAAGCTTGGTATCACATGTAGCTTCAGCTTTAGAAAATGTGACACCCTCTTCTGGTCTCTCCTAGCATCTACACACATAACAGAGTGAGCTAGCTCCCTCCCTGTCTCTCTCCTTCTCTCTCTCTCCCTCCCTCTCTCTTTCCCTCTCTTCCTCTCTCCCTCTCTCCCTCCCTCCCTCTCTTCCTCTTTCCCTCCCTCTTTCTCTCCCTCCCTCTCTCTCTCCCTCCCTCTCTCTCTCCGTCCCTCTCTCTCTTTCCCTCTCTCTGTCTTTCTCTCTCTCTCTCCTTCTCTCTCTCCCTCTCTTCCTCTCTCCTCTTCTCTCTTTCTCTCCCTTCCTCCCTTCCCCCCACCCACCCACACTTAAATAAAGATAAACCTTGAAAAAAACCCTCTTCTCTTCACATCTGGTTTTCAGGAGTGTCAGCACAATGCCCCGAGGCTTTTTCAGTTGATCTCATTTTTGCTTCTATACAAGAGTCTGTTAGTGGCTCAGGAAAGCCTCCCGACTCTGGTCCTCTGTGATTTATTGTGTACATGTCTGCAACACTGACAAGCTAGACCATTACTTTTATAATCCATTGTCTCTTTACATTTTATTTCCTGTAGTTATTCAGACTTATTTTTTTCAGCCATTTAATCTTTACTCAATTACATTTAAACCAATGTTTGCTTTTTGACAATAAAGTTCTTATCCAAATATGTCATTCGGAGCTTAATGTGAATGTTTTAACCATCTTGATTGCTGAAACACTTCACAACGACTTTGTATTTTGTATCTAATCATACCATAGCTCTAACACCCTCAGGGTCTGAATTTAGGATCTGTTGCTTATCCTTTAATAATGACTCCGCTTTTATTGATTTGGTATATTTTTTTTTATCAAATTCAACCCGAGGGAATCATTTTTAGTTTACTTATTATTGTTCTATGTGTGTCAATTATTTAAATGTATGTGTGATATATGCACATGTATGTGTGGTATATGCACATGTATGTGTGATATATGCACATGTATGTGTGGGTGACTGTACATAGAGATCAGAGGAGAATGTCAAGTGTCCTGTCACTCTTTTAATCCCTTGAGATAAAGTCTCACTGACCCTGGAGTTGGGCCAGCAGCCAGCAAATCCCTGCAATCCTTCTGTCTCCACCCACCCCACCCCTGCTCCCTCCCCACACCAACTACACAGGTCTCTTATGTGGGCACTTGGGACCCTAATTTAGGCCCTCATGCTTTGTATATATGCATATACTGTTTTTATTAAATCACAGGAAGGAACATATATATCTTCTACCTCAAACATTTATTCTTTTTGCTGAGCCCAACATCCTCTCTTTTAGCTATTTTGCAGCATACATTGACTGATCCTACAGCTGTGACAGGGCTCTAGGACTCAGTCCTGGTAACTAGAACTTTGGACCTGCTGACCACTGCCCTTTCTTCTTCAAAAGTTCACATAGTTACACAGGCTATGCTAATGATAAGGGCTTTTCCTATAGAAAAATGTCATGTGATATAAACATGTCCATATAAGATCATAGAGTACATGTGTAATTTCAAGGGCACATTTCTAGAAATCTCCAAGGACTCTTCAAAAGAACCTCTAATTCAGCGTCCGAGCTATATAGAAGCAACACAGACAATGGAGCTATACATACACTATTTTCTCCGCTTCTTCAGATTCTACTGAGTGTATGACTGTTGGCAGGTCAAAAAACTTCAGTGTTTTCGTCTCCGTGAGAATGATCTCTATGTTCTTCTCCAGCTCTTCCTTGGTTAAAGATGTCTCAGGTGTGGTTCTCAGAACTCGCACATCTAAAATACACGCCATAGTAAGATCACCCTGGAACTGCTCCTGTGCACACTTCCTAATCGCTAAGACACAATGATCACACACACATGGCGAGTGTGCACACTGCCTACTCACTAAGACGCAACGACAACACACACAACATGTGCACACTGCCTGGTCACTAAGACACAATGGACAACACACACAGCAAGTGTCTTTATACAGCAGTCTCTTTAACTTTTGTGAAAGCACCTGGAGAAGTCAGCTCTGTTCTGCTGCTACAAGCATTAATCCCAGCCTAGTCTCACTAGGTCACAGTTCCATGGGCAATCCTGTTACAATTATCCTGTACTGTTATGAGGGATTTTAAAGTAGCTGTTGGTACTACTGAGAAAGAATACAGGACATGTGTGTGGGGAAAGTCACCTGACCCTTTGAGGCCTCAACAACCTTACTACTTTTTTTTGTTTGTTTGTTCTTCTTCTTCTTCTATTTTTTTATTGGCCTCTCTAATCATCTTCAACAGGAGATAAAAGACTCTTCAATGGGTCTGGTTGATTACAGGTGTAAAATGGTCCCAATGTTCACACAAATAAATAATATGTTTTTTAAAAATGAGTCAAATTTTTCGAATAGTGAAAGGCAAAATATTCTAGGCAAATTTCACTAAGGACAGAATTTCAGAGCTGAGAAAGGGTTATATTCCAGGGCTGGAATAAGCAGGAGTAAGTTGTCTCATGCTCCACAGGAACAGGGAATTTGGAGACTGAAAAGAACAGGCTTGGACCCGGCGGTGGTGGAGCACGTCTTTGATCCCAGCACTCGGGAGGCAGAGGCAGGCGGATCTCTGTGAGTTCGAGGCCAGCCTGGTCTACAAGAGCTAGCTCCAGGACAGACTCCAAAGCCACAGAGAAACACTGTCTCAAAAAACAAACAAACAAACAAACAAAAAACCAGGCTCTTGATCCTCTGAGTACTCTTTTAGACCATCGGATGCTGGCTAATGGCTTGGCTATATATAAAGTAGCCTGGCAGCACAGACGTAGTTCTAAAAACAACCTCACATGAGATACGGCACATATATAGAATCTAATGCGAAATATCAGTTATGTATTAGAGCTGGGGAAAATACGTCTTCTTAATGGTAGAGGAACACACTATCCAGACAAAACCACGGAACAGCAAGTAGGCTTTTGTGCAGGTCTATCATCTTCTGAATGTTGCATGAATTTTTTCAATATTAAAAAATGAATTCTAGCAGCACTGTGTACCTACAGAATCTATTTCATGCATCAAGATTCCCAGCTCCAGACAATAGATGGAGACTACACTTGCGTCTCTACCTAGAAACCTATCAATGCACTTTTTGCTCTCAGCGATGGAGGAAGCACATCTTTCTCCACCCCTGATGTTCGAGAGATCTCCAGTTGTGTATTGCAAGCATGGCTCCCTTTTCACATCTTTACACAGAAAGCCCCTGGAGAGGGACAGGAAAGACTCTGAAGTAGTCTACAGTATTTAATGAATGGGTAAGACATGGTCACCCTTGGGGCTTCAAAAGCACTTTTACTCATAACACAGTATTTTGTTTCCAGTACATCTGCCCTTACCCCGTGTTCTTCAATTAATTGAGAAATAGGTAAGGAAAAGATCTATTATCTGGTCACATTAAGAGACCTCAGTAAGGAGCAGTTCAGGAAGCCTTCCTTGAGCTGGTGTTTAGCTACAATGAGTCTAGTGTAATTACAATCAGACTGGGTTACAAAACAGTGCTTCTCTCTCTTCGCAAATGCACATGTGCTAACCACGGGTACTTTATGAGTTCATGTAAAAGGACCTACTACTCATTTATCCCCATGCTGAGCAAGTGCCAGTCCGTGCCTAACATGCTGCTCCATCATACAAATGACAAGCTTTCCAAGCACAGCCTCCTTTCGGCTCGGAAATGTGTATGTGTCAGAACACCCAGAAGGCTTGTGCAAGATTTCAAGATAGTTTAGAGTAATTCGTTTTTTCATTTTAGAGTAGTTCGAGGTGTAGAACATCTGTAAGAATGCTAGAGCGTGTGTAGACCTGCACTCAGTAGCCCCCACTTTGAACATTCCTATCGTGTGCCTAGAGCAGCTAATGGGCCGACAGTGATACTTCGTCATCTGAAGCCCAGGTTTTATTCCAGGCTGCTTCATTTTTAATGCCATCTAAACACTCATAATTTATCCTAAAATATCAGCCCAGACACCACATTTGAACATCCTGTCCCTTAGGTTTTCCTAGACTGCGGCAGTTTCCTGTCTTAGAAGGCTGAGTGTTGGCCATGCATGTAGAACATGCTTCCATTTAGGACTGCCTGAAGCGGGACACGGGTTACAGGCTTCGGGAAGGCAGCAGAAGAAGAGCTAGACTGACAGCGCATCAAGCCTATCAGTACAGCTTCTTGCTGACGTCATCACCTCTTAGCTGAGACTGGTTTCTGTTTTCATACTGTGGTCTGGTGAAAGCCATGATACAAAGTCCGCATTAAAGAGGATAGAAACTCTACTTTGAAGGGAAAATATCCACATAAGTATTTAGAGTTCTCTAAAGAAGTCTATCTGCTCTCCCCTTTACCATATATCTAAGTATGGGCTCCTGGATATTGTCAATGAGTTCTAAGCCAGCACTATACTTTCTGATGTTGAACTTATATACCTTTGGCTAATGGAACACTAATGGCTGCTGTGTCCCTGTCATTCTTTTTTTTGGGGGGGAGGGGTGGAGGAAAGGCAGGGTTTGTGCAAGTATGTTTTTAACTTTCTAGTTCATCTTATATATACCCAAGGCTCAGAAATCAACTACTTCTCCAAAGGGCCCTATTTCTTTTAATGAAGAACAGTATGCAAAGCTAATAGTGAAACAAATGTTTTATAAACAGGCCCTTATTTACACAAAGAATATGATTACTTATTACAACTCAGGACAAAACAAGATGAGGGGCTGGAAAGATGCTCAGTGGTCACTACTACTCACAGATGAACCGAGTGAGGTTCAGTTCCTAGCATGCGCGTGAAGACGCATGATGGTCTGTAGCTCTAGTTCCAGAGAATTTGATGGCCTCCCCTGGCCTCCCCAGGTACTGCATACACATACACACATACACAGGCAAATACACATACACAGGCAAAACACCCATACACATAAAATAAACACTTATAAAGAACTTCAAAGTGTTGACTTATATCTACATGTACAGGAAAAAATGAGAGTTTCTTTTTAGGTCTCTCTCTTTCTCTCTCTCCCCTTCCTCTCTCTCTCTCTCACACACACAACACACACACAGGAAAGGAAGTATCATTAAAGATTAAACTCAGGGTCTTTGATGTAGGCAAATGGTCCCCCACTGAGACAGGTCCTCAGTTGCTTTTTATCTACTCTCAGTCACAATTAGAAATTAATCTTAAAATGGTATAAAAGCTGTGCCAAAATAACCTAGGTTTCACAAACATTACAAAAAATGACAATTTCCATGTGGGGAGTTAAACCATTGAAAATACATTAAAGCTGTAAGATTGAAAGAAAATTGCTTTTATTACCTGTAAAACTAGCCAGTCTGTCCCTCTTGTAAGCTGGTTCTTCTAGATCCTCCGTCATTGATTCGGTGGTGGACACACTTGACTTCGACACTGTGCTGCTCCCCATGACTGACCTTTGAAAGTTATTAACACATTTGGTCAATGTCCTTATGAGAAGCCAAAAGTGTAAATTAGACTATATCAACAGATGGACAAGTTAAACATACTAGTCATACAAACAACATAAATCATTATATCTTTTAAATCTTCAGTTGATTTTTCATGTCCTTTAAAAAGTGAAAGTATATTTTAGAATAACATATCAAATCTCCACCGAGGACATCAGTGTTCCCAAGTATATTTTGAAGGACTATTTAAAATATAGCTCCCTCTCAGACTCCATTTTCACTATCTCTTCATCATTTTGTTGCTGGGTGTTTTAGCACCTCCATCCTAGGAGTCTGTTTAGGGCCTCAGGCAAGAATAGTCTTCTCTTTGCTTCTGCACATTCCTCATAACTCGGCTCAAAAGTTCAATTTTACAAAAGTCCTCTCGAAAGGTAACAAGACACAGCTACACTGTAGAGTGCTTTCCTCCTCGGGAAAGGTAACCTGAGACACAGCTACACTGTACAAAAGGAAGCCTTCCCTACAAGAGGGGATGGGGGAAGCTCTTGAGACTAGGGAGGTTAAAAAAAGGTCATGTCTGGAAAAAACCAGTAACTTAGAAGAGTCTTAAAGGTCCCTCCCCAGAGTAAAGGAGTAAAGAAGTCTGGGGAGGAGACTTGAGTGGCTGAGCCGCGGGGGAGGAGGGGCGGGGGTGGGGTGGGGTGCAGACTGTGGGGCTGTGGTGCTGCCTACAAGCTGTGCAGAGCTCAGGGGTGTGGCTTGTGGTTACCACGTGGGATCGCGAGTTTCTCTGAGTCATCCCAGTTCCTGACTCCTGTTAGTAATGCCAATAAAGACTCACGTTCCACCACGCTGTGCTGTCATGCGATCATTAATTTGGTCAGTCATGGGTTTCCTTTAAAATTTTAAACGAACGATCATAACATTACTCTGTAACATCTTACATTTAGGCTTTCAATTGTTTACAAAGGGGTCAACTTTACTGGAAGAGCCCTTGTTTCTTATCTGGCGTTCCATGTGGCTCGTGTGTGAATTGAGTGTAGGGTCTAGAGCAGTGTGTGTGACTGCACTGTATTCTAAATGGCAGCCATAAAACCCTAAAGAAACTGGGCCAAAATATTTAATTGCGATTTGTGGCCATCTGTGAAGCTAGTCCTTTCGGAAACCTTGGGCAATCTCAGACAAACATCTACACACTTTTCACAATGTTTTAGAATTTGTGGGAAATCTTCAGTCAAGCTCTGGACACGAATATAAATCAAAACATAAAAGCTAGAACACTAGGATTTATCGATTGAAGTCAGAAAAGTGGAAACATATATTCTGTATGTATGCAATATAAGCAGAAGAACAACATAAATGAAATCAAAAGAACTGGGGCCAGGATACTTCACCTTGTGAACTGCCCTAACATACTAGGGTTAACTGTATTTTGATACAGACTGTATGAAGAAATAAAATCTGATGCAAGTGATCCTTCTTGTGACATCAAGAGTTTGTTGGGCTTTGCTGTTCCCAGGTGTGGATCTGGATGGTAGAGAGGTCGGGGAGTAACATCAACGCCTCTTGCATCAAACACCTGTAGAAAATGGTTATTTAAACTGAATATCCAGACAAGAAAACAGAAATACGTATAGCAGAAAAATATTAAGTATAATAATGTTCTTAGAACAAGATGAGCATGAAAACTGAAATAATACAAAATTTTATGCTTGAAGTTTAACTAGGCAAAATAAAAACAATCTTACTCCTGTACCTACATACAATAATAAACACAGAGATATGATGTGAAAATGGTAACTGATCTCTGTAGCTGATCATTATATAGAGAAAGCTGGATGGCATGGCCAGTCACTTGATATGGCTTCTTTTGTTTTTTTGTTTTTTGCTTTGTTTTTTTGTTTCAAGACAGAGTTTTTCTGTAGCTTTGGGAACCTGTCCTGGAACTAGCTCTTGTAGACCAGGCTGGCCTTGAACTCACAGAGATCTGCCTGCCTCTGCCTCCAGTGCTGGGATTAAAGGCGTGCACCACGACTGCCTGGCTGATATGGTTTCTTGATGTAATCAAATGTGACAAGAAGCATATAGAAGCTGATGGTGTGACAGCAAACTTTTTAATTAATTACTTATTTAATAAGTCTATTTTTGGTTTTTCAATACGGTTTCTCTGTGTAGTCTTGGCTGCCCTGAAACTTGCCCTCTAGACTGGGCTGGCCTTGAACTCAGGAATCCACCTGTCTCGTCTCCTGAGTGCTGGAATTAAAGGTATTTGCCACCATGCCCAGCTACAGAAAACTTTTTTATATTAAGTTTTTGAAAAACAATACTATACTCTAATGACAATACACGGCAATCAGAAAAATAGAATACTTTATTCATATTGTTAATATTTTGGTTGATATAATATCATAAGCATAGGCATGAATAAAAACATGGTTCCAAGGGGAGCCTGCTAACGCAAGAGGAACCTGAGAACCTCAGCTCAGCACAGCTGCGGCAGCAATTCACTCCACAGTACCTGTGGAGTGTGAATGAGAGTGGCCCCAAGGGGCTCAGGTTTGAATGCATGGCTCCCAGTTAGTGGAGCTGTTGGGAAGGATTAGGAGGTGTGGCCCTGTTGGAGGAGGTGCGTCACTGGGCATAGAGTTAAGATTTTAAAAGACTCCCGGGATTCCCAGTAAGTGTACTTGCTCTTTGTCTCATGGTTGTGGATCAAGATGTGAGCTCTAAGCTGCTCCTTCACTCAGCCACCATGGACTCTGACCCTCTGAAATCATAAACCTAAATAGAGGTTTGTCTCATAAGTTGCCTTGGTCATGGTGTTTTACCAAAGCAAGAGACAAGTAACTAAATATTAAACTTCTATTTCCTATTTTAATTAGTTTGCTTCCAGTCTCATGTATATATGTCTCCTGATGGTTTTGCTTTTGTCTGTATATTGCTCAGATCTTAGGATTATTGTTGATGTTTCCATCCAGTTTACTCTAAGACATTCTTTACTATGCTCTCCAGGACATTGAATATCCCCTTCCCTTCTCACCATCACTCTAATACATTCTTTACTATGCTCTCCAGGACGCTGAATATCCCCTTCCTCTTCCTTCTCTCATCCTACCCTCTTCCCTTTTACTTCTTAATTATAACCCTCCACAATTTAGCAATGTCTAAAATCTGTGGGCCATAATAATCTCTCAACTTCGTCTTCTAATTACTTTACCTACCTCTTTCTGATTTTCCCTTTCCAAACCTAATTAATATTTAAGCCTGAGTATATGTCATATTATCATTGATTATTTAGCCTCCAATGGTTACTGAAATCAAAGGTGCCAATGTGACTAACTGGCTAGTACGATGTTTGCGTTGTGGGACGATCACGCAGCCATGACTGCTCTTGCAGTTAATATTCTAGTCGGGGAATGATACAGTGCTTTACACCAAGCACTCGGCTCCTGGACCAAGGAACTATTTGCTGAACTACACAATCACCAGTATCACATCCAAGTTCTACGTGAACATAGCAAATACTTTAATTGAAAAGAAGGTGGCTGATTATGTAACAGCAGATATGTAAATCCCAATGAAGCAACCAACACAACAGAACTCATCCAAAAGTTATGAATTCTATAGTAAAGGCATTTAACAAGAGTGAGACAGGTGAAATAAATCCCAGTCGGGGAACTTCAAAGAAAGTGCATATGTTCAAATAAAAAAATAAGTTACCGATTGAGAACATAAACAGATGAAATAAGGAAGGCGCTGCAAAAGATGAAATAGGACTTCAGCAAGAGCTGGAAATACTGAGACGAAACCAATCTAAAATTGTGGAAATGAAAAATGTAAGACAGATGAAAAAGTCTGTTGGAAGGCTCACCAATAGAATGGACAAGGAGATGACAGACCAGCCGACCTTGAACTGATGGAACTAGAGGGACGGATCAGTCGGGAGCCACGACACAACAGTGAGAATTCTGAGATACATGGGACAGTCAGAAACAGGAAATGCATGGATGGCAGGCACAGTAGGAGAAGAATCTAGTTCCAAAATCACAGGAAACCCTTTTTAAAGGATCAACAGAAGCAACTTCAGTCAAGAAGGAGACGCCAACACAGACACTGGAGGCTAAGTCACCAAACAGAAGAGGTCAGTCTCCCCTCATGACATCATAATTAAAACACTAAATACACAAAAGCATATGGAAGGCAGGCACTGAAAGTACATTAAAAGCAGCAAGAGAGAAACTCCCAGTCACACACTAGGGCAGGCTCATCAGACTGACAACAGGCCATTCGGCTAAAAGTTAAAGGCCAGAAGGGCAGAGACAGATTTACTACAAGTTCTGAAACAGAACATATCCAAGAAAAGCGGTGGTCCTCAATCTGTGGGTTGCAACCCCTTTGGGGGTCCAATGACCCGTTCACAGGGGTCACACAGCAGATATCCTGTATATCAAATATTTGCATTACAATTAATAACAGTAATAAAATTATAAATATGAAGTAGCAGCAAAAATAATTTTGTGGTTGGGGTCACCACAACCTGAGGAACTGTACTAAAGGGTCACAGCACTAGGAAAGCTGAGAACCACTGCAACAAAGACTAACTTAGTTGGCGGGAAAAAAAATGAAAACTTCCCATAAAAACAAAACAGATTAAAGGAATTTATGACCACCATGCCAGTTCTACAAAAATACATGTAGTCCTGGGGAATCCCTTTAACCCCAGCCTTTGCAGAGGCAGGCACACCTCTGTGAGGCTAGCCTGGTCTACAGAGTGAGTTCCAGGACAGCCAGGAGTACACAGAGAAACTTCATCTCAAAAACCAATAATAATAATAATAATAAATGAAGGAATCTTTTAAACTGAAGAGAAAAACAAATCCATCAACAAAGCCATGCTAGACTAATACTTAAGTGTGGGGGGGAAACAACCCTGGGAAACCTAAACATTATGCAATCAACAAAATGACAGGAAGAGTGTACATCTTTCAATAGCAACTGTGACTGTTAATGACTTCAGTTCCTCCAATCAGATGACACAGACTAGCAGACTGGCTCAAAGAGCAACTGGGCATTTGTTGCCTCCAATAATTCACCTAACACACACACACACACACACACACACACACACACACACACACAAAGACCTACCTTAGGATGAAAGGGAGAAGGTGTTGAAAGAACAAGAACCTAGGAAACAAACAGGTGTTGCTGTTCTGAAAGATTTCAAACCCTGAGAGGGCGTATAAGGGGCCACTGTGTACCAAGGGAACAAGCCCTAGGAGGCCATTATAATTCTAAACATAGACCCCCTGAACACAGGGGCACCTGGTGTAGGAAGTCCTTCTGTCTATGTGTTGCTTTTATTGGTTAATGAGTAAATCTGTTTGGGCCAGTAGCTTAGCAGAATAGGGCAAGGCGGAAGCTCCCAGCAGATAGAGGAGGAGAGAGCAGGCAGAGTCAGAGACGCCATGGAGCTGCCAGAGGGGAAAGATGCGAGTTGCCAGCTGGAACCTTGCATGTAGGCCATGACCCTCGTGGTAAAATATAAAATAATGGAAATGGGTTCATTCTAGATGTAAGAGCTAGCTAGCAATATGCTTAAGCTATTGGCCAAACAGTATTGCAAATAATAAAAGTTTCTGAGTGATTATTTTGTGGTCTGGGTAGTTGGAAACAAACAAGCAGCTTCTGCCTACAGGCACCCACTTTCATAAAACAAAAACTAGTCAATACAAAGCCACAATTAATCCTGGTATGAGTCATGGGTGACTTCAATACCCCGTCCCCACCAACTGACAGGTGTTCTCCCGAAAATAAACAGAGAAAGTACTGGTTCTTTGAAATGATGAACAAGATTTGTCAAATCCTCAGCTAAACTAATCAAAACAAAAAGAGAAACCCAAACAAAATTAGAGATGAAAAGGGAACAATTACACTAGATACCAATGAAATTCGAAGCAGAATCATGTTTTAGCTTGAAAACACCTTGTCCACTAAACTGGAAAATCAGAAGAAATGGATGAGTTTGTAGATGCATACGACTTACAAAACTAAGACAAGAAGAGACCAGCAAGTTAAACAGATCAGTGAAAACTAGTGAGGCTGAAACAGCAATTCCAATCTCCCAACTAAAATGTCCCTGTTGAATTCAATACACCCACCCCTAATTTTTAGATTGGGTTGTTTTCTTGACAACTGGTTTTGTTGTTTACATATGCTGGATAGTGACCTTCTGTTGGATGTATATTTGCCAAAGATGTTCTCCCATTTTATAGCTGCCTCTTCATTCGCTTGACAGTCTCCATTGCTGGACATAATGAGATTCCATTTTTGATTATTGGCCTCTTTTCTTGAGTAATTGTAACCCTATCCATAACATCCTTACCTATGCTTGTATCTTGAGGAAACTTCCTACTCTTTCCCCTATAGTTTCAGGTCTTATGTTGAACTCATCAATCCATTTGGGATTGAGTTTTGTCCAGGAGGGTTTTGTTTTATTCTTCTGTTGTCAAAATTAGGTGGCTAGGGTTGTGTGGGCTCGTGCTTGTGCCCTCTATTCCACTGCAGTGACCCAGGCGTCTGTTTTGTGCTAGCGCCATGCTGTCCAGAGCGCTAGGGTTCTTGGGTGCGGTCATACTTCCAGCAGTGTTACTTCTGCTCAGGATTGCTTTGACCGTCTGCGATCTCTGTTGCTTAGGCACTTTTGGAAAGCTATTGTGAATGGCATTGTTTCCCATTTTTTTCAGTTTGCTTGTCACTGATATAGTCGACGGCTAATGATTTTAAGTGTGCATGCATCCTGTTGATTTACTGAAATAGTCAAATAAAAGATACTTTAAATATTCTAACAGCCTTCTACTAATATTCACTAATTTATTTATTATGTATTTTGGTCTCTCTTATTCCCTTCAATTACAAAATTTTATTTTATAGTTATACAAAAATATAAAAATGTGATTAAATAAAATAGTAAAATGCTGGTAGCCACTGCCCCCTCAGCTACTCCTTTCTCCTCACAGACAATTACTAATTTCTTCACATTCACAATCCATTTCCTTCTTCCTGTTCATAGCGCTGTTAAGTATCTTTAATAGTTTATTCTATAAAATATACACACACACAAAGTATGCATGGAGCTTACAACCTAGTGAATTCTCTAGCCAAACAGCACTGTTGTATCCAATACAAAAATTCAACAGATTTAGGGCAGAAATTTACCAGAAGTTTCTTTCAGGAGAACTAGTATCTTCCATCCAAAGTAGTAATTACTTACCTTGACATCACATGCTAGCTTAGCCTGTAAGCTTTACTTAGATGAAGCCATATAAAAAATCATCTTTAATACTGGTTTCTTTTGTTCACTATTATGCACGTAAGATTCATTTGTATTACTGACTACAGCCACAGATCATTCATCCCATTATTACATAGTATTTAGTATTCCACTGTGTGACTTATCATTTTTTATTTATCTATCACGGGTATTTGTGTATTTTCCAGTTTGTTTTCCCTCCCTCCCTCCCCCTCCCTCCCCCCTCCCTCCCTCCCCCCCTCCCTCCTTTCTTTCTTTCTTCGTTCTTTGAGACAGGTTTTCTCTGTGTAGCCCTGGTTGTCCTGGAACCCACTCCTCTGTAGACTAAGTCAGTCTGGATCTCAAAGAGCTCTGCCTGTTTCTGCCTCCCAAGTGCTGAGATTAAAGGTGTGAGCCACCACTGCCCAGCAGTTCCGGCTTCCCAATCGTGCTGCTGGACAGGTGAGCGAGCATGATGGGTACAGGTACTCTTTGTCATGCCGATGCTCTGGAGTGGACCCTGAGGATCCACATGGTAGAAGAGGAGAACAGACTCTTGCAACCTGTCCTCTGACCTTCATTATGTGTGCCCTGGCTCACATATGGACACATACATGCAGTAAGTAAAAGCCATCAAACAGTGTTGCTATAAATATCATTGCAAATGATATGCTGACCTTTATGAATCTTTGTTGGAACTCTGGGTAGAGAGGATGTGCATGCTCACTTTTAAGATGAGCTTCAACGTGATTCCATCAGCAGAGACAAAAGGTCTGACTTCTCCAGATTTTTGAAAACACTTGATATTTCTCATGTGAGTTAAGGAAACTCCCTTTATTTTTGAAATGTTGCAGTCATACATTACCTTATAGCTGGCACCCTTTGTCCAGCAATGTTTTATTTTCCCAAGTGTAGCTATGTAAAGTTGTTCGTTCATTTACTGTGGTTATAAAGTAATGCACACAACTATTACACAGTATTTTACCAGTTTACTTTTAATAGATACGATGAACTGCTTCCAGGTTTTGGCTCAGTGAATGTGCTTCAGTAAACGTTTGTGTAGAGGTGTCTTCCAATACATCCCCAGGCGTCTGCCGATGCCGAGCAGCTGAGCCACAATATATATA